AAAATTAATCTGTGATTTTCTGCTTTAAATATACAAACCAATCATATAACATTTAACTGAAAATCAGTGTGTAACTAAATTATGACGTTGTCCCCTCTGCAAACCGAAAACTACGAGTTGGAAAACGTGAGCGTGGCACATTTATCATTACTTTTGCCCCCCTCCACCCACACCCCCAAAATAGTAAAAGCAATAATAACTTTATGTATTTGACCTGAGCCACAACAATAGCAAAACAGCAAAGGCGGGCAAAAGGAACAACATCAAGTCGAGTCCTCGAGTGGCTTCTATGATAGAAAATTGTGTCACGACAGGAAGCGAGATAAGAGCGTAATTTTCTTTCAACGTGCACGGCCCGAAAGCTTTTCTTGGCCGCCTTTTTTTGGTATGTGTTTGTACGTGTGCATATATTCAGGCCAGGACTTTTGGTCCGGATGTGAGCTATCGTGGTTACCGTTAGTCATTTTCAGTGATTGTTCAACGTTGGACGTTTCAACGTTGTCGTCGTCGTCGTCGGTTGACTTTTAATGATTGTCACGCTCCCGATTTCTAACTAACCACTCGAGTCCTCTTTTATCCCTCTCTAACCGCTGACCACAACAGACAGGTGGAAGCAACCCACCTGGGCAAAATCGGGAAGGGTGCGGAAATGTGGTGGGGGAGCGGTTGGAGTGAACCCAGGACTAATTTGCATTTATATTCATAATCTTAGGCATTGCGTCATGAAATATTGCATGTCCCAAACTTCTGACACTTTAATTGCCCATTTGGTACTAAGCCTACACTGCTCCAAGTTAAGAACTATATTATGGTGCTAATAAAAGTATCACAGAAAGCCCTTTCAATCGAAAATCGCCTCCATGTGCCACAAATTGTATCTAAGCTCTGATAAAATCTTGTAAAATTAAAAGAATCTGTAGTACCGCCAGCTATTTCAAGATGTTTGATGTTTTTGTAGTTAAAAAACTGATTCAATTTTTAATTTTTCACATAGACTTTTTTTTGTTAAGAGATACATTTACTTATCTACAAGGACTGCCACCTAAACTGCATACCTAAATTCTATTTATCCAATTCAATTTCCTATATTTTTTTTGTACTTGCCAAACCATTTACCGCAGTGCAGTCTGAAGTGGACTCATTTCTTGGGCTTTCGCACCCACCTACTCGCCCAGATCAACGCCACGTGCACCTCCCACTCCACGGGGCCTACTATATTCCCTTTCTTTCCTGCTCCGATATATTCTCGTAAATCGTTGTCTATATGGTTTGTCTGTTTCGCTTACTACGTGACTTTTTCGCATTTTTGCGCATTCTGCCTGCGACTCGCAGATCGATTTTCAGACGCGATCCACCAGATCCATGCGGGTGCATAAGAAAAGATACAGCTACAGATACAGATATACAGAATTCGAGTGATCTGAATTGAATGGAAGGGCAGACAAGACCAAAGTTTGAGATGTTAAGTTGTTTGTTTGTTGTGGGCACTTCGGGATCGTTTCTGTTTGGATTCGCTGATAAATGTCTAAAAATACGCAAGGCAACACCGAGAAAGATACAATGTGTGCCGAGTTGGAAGGGTTCCACAGAGTCTGCTCTTCGTCTGGGTTTATCTTGGGCAGAGTTTTATGAATTTTATCAGCGACATAAAGCAATATAATTGCAACATAAATCAGAGGCCGGACCATGTGTTGAGCACTGAGATAATAGTGGTGTGATGTATTCATACTCAAAGTAATAACTCAATTATATTCGAGGCAGCCATTTCCCCTAGAGTTTCCCCATTCCTATTCAACAGATTTTTTCAATTCCCCTTTTGGCAGCCATAGCCAAGCGTAAAGAGATGTAAAGACATGCTCGAGAGTGCCACTCAATGTGGCAAACCATGGGGAAAATGGGAGAAAGGGGCTGAATTTTCTGCCAGCAACAGGACAAAATGTGAACCAAGCGTAAACTGCCATTTTGCCATTTCAAGCATTAAGAATGCGAAAAAAAATGTGAGAAAGGTATATGAAAATAAAAGTACAAATAAAAAATTCTCGAAAAGGAATCACAATTTTATTGTACGCATTTTAATCGAGGGAGTGGCTGCCTTTCTAAGTGGCCTTCGCCCCACTGATAGAGGTTGGCTGCCTCTCTCTCTTTTTGCCTGTAAATTGGCTTAATTAAAATGTATTAGTTCTGCCTGCCTTAATTCTTAAAAACAATATTTTTGCAAACAATTAAGTAAAGCCAAAAGGTAATTTGCAACATTGTCGGCAGGAATCGGGGACTCTGAAGCACGAAAATGTTGCTGTTTTTGGTAAGGTAATTAGAGGAAATTCAGGCTACAAAACAAGCTTGTGAAGTCAAAAACATTTTCAAGAACCCCTCCTCTCCTTCGAAGTCCTAAGTGCCCTCAAATCAACTCCCAACTTAAGCTCTGAATTTAAACATCAACCACATATCCGTTTATTCTTCCTTCTTCAAGAAATTACTACTATGACCAATTGCCTCTGAACCAATCATAGTTTTCCTTCCGTCCTTTTGCCTTTGTGGGACCCTTGAATGCCGTAGCAAATATGCTTGAAATGATTGCGGCAAAGGAAAACCCGAAAATCAGAAGGCAAACGACCAGAAAGGATAACAACCAATTGCCACATGTCTGAGGACTTATCAGAAAATCAGGAGGATTCATTTAAATAACGGAGAAGCCAACATCCGGAGCTGAACAAATTATAACTCAATTCATACGCTTGTTTGCCCAACCAAACTCAAGCTCAAGTCCCAAGGAAGTAACGATGGCGATGGCTGTGTCCTGCCATCCTCACAAAGGTCCAACTGGCAGGACACGAAAAGAAAACTCATTTTTGTGCTGCGCAAACAGTTCTCGCTCCCGTATTTCCCCCCATCTGACTGACTCCCCACACATTAGGACTTCCTTTCCTTCCGATTTCGTGTCCTGGCTGCGATTGTGCGCATTATACACAGTCCGCTTGTGACTTTTAGGGGGTGGCTGGGGGTTGTTGGTGGTGCTCCGGAGGACCTGAGCTGCCCCTTCGCAAGTGCAAAAATTTATGATTTATGTTATTTTAAACCCAAGTCCAGGCGGGAACAATCATCCTGGGAAGCCTTGGTTACAAACTATTTCCCAGGATTTCAGCGAGTATGTGTAGTCGTGAGCAAGTCGTGAGTGGAGAGTCTGAAAAAATAAGAACATTTATATTTAATACTCATGCATTTTTATATATTTTCTTTAATTCAGAAAGTATGAGCTCCGATAATTGCCTAAAAAATTATATATCTTTAAAATGTTTTACGGTATAACACCATAGTATATAGAAAGCGATAACAAATAACAATCTTTTAACTTCCAAAATTATATTGAATATTGTCAGTCTATTGAGAGTTAATTACAAATACATTATTAACTTTATTTTGAAGGACGCAATCAGACCTAGAGATCCAAATAGGATGATCTTTACCACCAAAATTTTTAAAACAAATATAATATAGCCTTAGTTGACTGCTCTCCCTTAATGATCTCTTGATAACCACCCATACAAATCGGTCAACATTTCAATTACATTTCCCACTCGTGAGTCACGCCCGCATCTCAGCGTTTGGAATATCTCTCCTGGATTTTTGTCCTCCGACTTCTGTCCTGTGGCGAGTACATGTGTGTGGTTTCCACAGATTACACACACAATGGAGTGAGTGTGTGCGAACGGGCACCGCCCACCACATGCAACCGCCCCTAACGAGAACCCATGAACAGAACAGCCAGCCTGAGCAGAACTGAGCTAAGTCGGGGCCCAAATGCGAGACCATTTAATTTGCTGCGGAGGTAATGTGGCATATGCCAGCGGTTCGGAGGAGCCGCCTCAGATTGAGTGCTAAACAGGCCGAGCACCACCCAACCGCTCAACTACAAGCAGGCAGCCACTGAACCACACGACCACTCAACCACTTGCAGCCCAAATTGCTAGCAAGGATGCACAGGGAAAAACTAAAGAAATACTACTTGAAACTGCTAAAAGTGGTTTCAAAATTCTTCCATAAGTATCTTTAAACAAAAGTTATATTTTCTATAATATTTATGAGTTAACTAAGGCTTATTGGCAAAATATACAACTTTATTGTGTTTGTATTACTTGGCTAAATTGTCCTAACTTTAATATTATCAAATACCAATAACTAAACATGAATAAAATTTAAATACAAATTTGTTTATAGATATAAGTGGACTTCCTAATTTTTTTTTAAAATTTTGTTTTTAAAAATTGTGGCCAAAAAATTAAATGCTCTAGTTTTGGTTTTTTGAATTTAACTACAACCTAAATATGAATTGATTTTAAGAATTGGAAAAATCACGTATCAGCAAGTGATTTACTTAGAGTCACTTATAAATAATCCTTGATACGATTCAATTTGTATTTTGGTAAATGATTGTAGTGCATAGTAGAGGTTTCTTTATGTGCTTAGGTAAAGCCCATGAGCGTGAGCTCGAAATTGACCCGCAGCCGTTGGCTATGCATCAGGAATTTATTACGCCCTGGCATTTGCATATTTATGAATAATGGAGGATAACCAGTGTGGCCAAGAGCATGTCCAGAAATTAAGACTAACTGGGTGAGGGGAAATGAGGGAAAACGACCCCCGACCTCGACTGCCTTTCGACTTTTCCATTTCTATAACCTTTGCATGCCAACTGAGATCCATAGAGTGTGCGAAACTGATACTCCGAAAACCCACACACACACTGGAACCAATACCAGCACACCCTCTGGTGTGTGTAAGTGTGTGTGTGTACACTCCAAGACATTGGTCACGAAAAGCGGAAATGCTGATAAGGAACTTCAATGTTTTTTTATTTCGTTGTCGTGTTTAATGTCTTTTTGTCGTGCTTAGTGTCTTTAGTGTGTGCTCTACTCCCCAGCACCCTTGTATGTGTGTGGGTTTGAGTGTGTGCGTAGCCCGGCCATATAATCTATATAGTATAATACTTAGTAGCGATTTAGTCAACCCAGGGAGTTGGAGGTTGGATCGGTGGTGGTGGTGGTCGTGCAGTCATAAGTCAAGTGGTTGGCCCTGGGAAAATGGGAATTTCATGTAAATCATTTATATTCAGCGGCAAGTGGGAAACGATGATGAAATTGGGCGGAGTAGAACGAGTAGAAATTTTAGTTAATGTTAATATAATTTATTAATAACACATATTATTGCTTACCTTTTAAAAGTATCTGTCTTACTGTAAGTTTTACAACATTAGCATGCAAATATATAATACTTTTAGAGTACATATTAAAAAAATGATAACAAAATTGTTACTCATTAAGTTGTAGTAATAAATGATAAATCACACCTATAAAATATCTACTCAATAACATATGGTTCCCACAAGCTTGAAGAATTCGCATTTTTATGCTTATATTGTTTTTTAAAAAATTTAATCAATTTCTGTCAATCAAAACAAGTCCAAAACTGTCAAAGAAACTGTTGAGTATAACAAAATTCAATTTCAGTTAAGAGACCTCTTTTTATTTGAGAAACACGAAGCTAATTTGAATTGCCATCGTAAAAGTCAAATAAAGTGGAGCGTAATTCATAATTCACCCATAATAGTTTTGTATTTGACAATTTTGCTTGTTCGTAAACAAAAAATTCCGAATCCAAGTGGCAGTTTATGTTCGTCTGGCACTCAGACAATACCAGCCACTTATCGAATTTCACACTCGATTTGTTCTAGCCGATGGATGATGAGGTTCTCAAGTGCCCAAAATGAAGACTTGGCGCAGCTTCCTTTGAAGAAGAAACCGATAAAATCGATGAACTCTGTGACAACCGCATAGTTGAAAAGAAATAAATTGGAATTTATGCGGTCATAACAATTAGGAAGAAGTCAAGTGTCGCAAAGAAAGGGCGAACTCTCACTCTGGATGGGAATGTTATCTTTGTGGCTGGAGTAAACAATTATTTTCCGTTGGGGGTATGTTATCTATAAGCCTAATGCTGCAGTATTCGATCATTTCAAGCACGTGACTAAAACACACACTCACCTGCCTGGGAAACTCCCCCTGGATATCATCATAATTGGATTTAAAGCCTAGGCCTAGTCCCAATCCCTTTTGTGTTTGTGGAAGGGCAACCTGCAACGACATTTAACCGCGGGCATATTTAATTTAATTTCTACGTATTTAACCCAAAACCAAGCTATAAAAGTAGTCGATGTTGGGAATACTCTTTAAAGGTTAAATATATATTTTTTATATTCGAAAAAAAATAATCCCTTAATACATAGTTTACTGTCATATAAATTTTAATTTCAAAGAAAGGTGTAAGCTTGACTAAAAAACCCTGACATTTAAAAATGTTATCCTGGTTTATCCAAGCTTAAACTTTATAATTAAATACATCTTGCCTAAGACAAGTAAAAGTTTAAAATTATTATTTCGTCGAGTTTAATACTTTCGATTATTTCACATCATTTAAAGTTGCTTCATTTAAATTAATTGATAAAATATTTATTTAAATTAATTTACCTAGTGAACTACCCTTTTCGAGAGTACAGCAAACCAATCCAAACCAATACGAAATGAAGCTGGGAAAAGGGATCAGGGGTCAGAACAAAGAGGGCTTGCAGGTTGCACATGCCTGAAACGCGTTTCACTTTAAAAATTTATGCAATTATGAGCCGCAAATATTATTATGTAAACATACAAATACAATCTGTGGGGGTGGACGGCAAATGAGCAATGTCCTGCCCATTCTGTTCCTGTGGTGGCAACATATTGATAGACAATAATTTGTCTTAATGAAATTTTGCCTTTATTTATGAGATGGTCGAAACGTGTAGGAAATCTTTCACAACCCGAGGCGACGACGTTGCTAGGAAAACAATCTGCTGCCGGAAAATTTCGAGCACCAGCCTTGGGGCAATTAGTGAAGGTTGTGTGGTGGGATTTTCCCGGAGATTGTTATTGTTGCCCTTCAGGTTGCTGTCTTTCATGTCCTGTGCATAATTTATGGCTCCAGCCACCCACTTTGGATTCTGTCTGGGTCTCTGCTGTTCGGACAGAAGAAGCCCCGTTCCAATTATCAACAAACTTTTTGAGAAAAGAACTGAAATCTGTGATGTAATTGCTTTTCGTTTCTCACCTTTTGTCGCCGAAATGGCAACCGCAAAGTCAAAAGTCCGAGTGAGTTTTCCACAGTGGGAAAACGAGAAACTCTGAAAACTGTTAATGGGGCTTCCCCGCTGCGTGTGGATAGGTTTTTCAGTTGACGAAAGGTAGGGGGTGGTGCTAAAAGATTTTCCAATATCAATTGAAATTAAATTGAATTTTAAATTGGCCAGCGTGGCCAGGAGACATTACTGATGTGTGCAAAGAAACCCGAGGAAATCATGGGGAAAGTGGGCGTGTGTGGGCTGATATGGGCGTGGCCTCGGGTTAGCCACACTTGTTTCTGACAGCCCAAGAGGGCAATAAAACGAATGAAAAATGGCTAATGGAGTGAGAGTGGAAAGGTGGAAAAGTTTCATGTCAGACTAATCCAGAAAAATTGAGAGTGAGGGAAAGTTCAATAGAACTCTTATGACCAAAAGAAAATATAAGCTGTCAAGAGCTTTGACAAGATTTTTAGTTATTGGGAACCTAACAAAAAATTTAAGATAATTATTATCTAATGAGTAAAAACGTTAAGCATAGCCAATAAATATTTAGCTCACAAAAAAAGGTAATTCGAAACCAAAAATAAATAATATGTAAATTATGTAAAAGAACTACATGTTAAGTAAAATAAGCTGTTTTTCTCGGTTTTTCTTGGAAAAATATTTCAACAATTTGAAGAAATTCCTGCAACTCCACCTTTTTTACCTACCAAAAACGAGAGGGGGTTTCCAACTCGTAGACTTGACAGCAAAACGCCTACCGACCGCCTTCAGTTAGTTGCACACCGAACAAAAGTAAAAGTGGGCATCATAATAAGGACTCTGCAACGCTGTGCTGCATCACAAGCAGGAATACACAGCGTATCCTATATCCTATATTCCATATCCTACATAACGACTACTCCACATCCCATTCCATGGCTTTTGTTGGCTCGCCATTGTCGACTTAAATGCACAATTTGCGCATGAAAAGCGTGTATGTGGAGAGAGGGAAGGTACACATTGAAAAATTATAGATACTTTAAAATATATTTTTTTAACAGTTAAGCAGAATAACCAACACTGTCGTTCCCAAAAAAATAAAATAAAAAAGAGGTTTTTATAGCTCATATTAAAAATTAATACTTCAAAAAACAAAGGTAAAATAGTTGAAAAAATATTAATAAAGCAATTAATATTTCGTAGGATGGAAAGTTTAAATACTAATATAAAACAAATTAGTTTTAGCTTATAAGTCAACAAGTGTTAGTATACACAAGTTTTGTTTTGGGAATGGAACAATGCTTAATATTTTGAAGAACTGTATTTATTTATTTAATGATAGCTTAATTTTTTTTTCTGTGTGCAGCATATACCGACATATTCAATGTACTTCCGGTGGCGCAAAAGGAACAGGAGCATTTGCGATGCCGCGACTGGATTCGGTTTTTGAAGTTGCTTTCAAGGCCCTTTGACAGACGCAGCGACGGATAATACACACTTAATTGCTCAAAATGATGCGATTGTGGAGCGTTGCATATGCCACATACACTTACACACATCCACAAGCACACCACCACACACAGATACGCACACACACTGGCGAAAAATCTCACCCATCTGCACCACCCGATTAGCGAATGGAAAGCTCAGCCACTGCTTTTTTGGCGCGCTCAATTTAAAGCAGGCTGTAAAAACAGGAGAAAACCGCGAAAAAAATGGGGTGGGGTGTAAAGGGGGTGGTGCGACGGGGGCAAAAAGAGGGAGTTACCCTGCTTATGTATTTGAGCCACAACAAAAGACACTCGAGGGCATATCATTGGCGTTTTGTGACGACCTCTACGCACTTGAGCTCACATGAGCCACAGGCCATAATTGCATTTAAAGGATTTGCACTCTGCTTCCCTTTCTCCTAACCTTTCCCACATGCGGTTGTGCGTACGAAAACATGCTAAATATGGTTCTTGAATAAGAAGAGAACTCTTAAAAGGGGATAAGGCCAGGAAGGCTCAGAGAATCCTCTACGAGAAATTAAATAAGCAACTTTTACACATGTAAACCATGAAAACTCTTGATTTTTAATAGTCAAAAATACCTTATTTGTAAATACTTTTTTATGAATCAATCTTTTGTAAAACTATACCCTAATATCGTACCTAAATATATAAATATAAATACTATACCATTTTATAGAAAGAAACTCTGGAAAATATTTACTTTTAATTAACAGGATAATTGATACCAAAAAGATTTGAATTTACGATTTTTTAAACCTTAATAATAATTGTAACCCTCCAAAAAAACGTTAGTTCCCTAAGCTTAAACATCTACCCACTCTCAAAATTATCCCGAGACGACCCACAAAAAAGCAACCGCATTTCTGCGTTTTACTTGAGAACCACTCCACTTTGGTTCAATTCTGTTCAGTTCGAGCCACTCCACCAAGGGGCATAACCCCACCCCCGTCCGAAATTGCCCTGCCCTCTACGCCCCTGGGGCATCGATTGCTACTCGCCTTGCCATTGTTTCAATTTCCATGTCGTTTTGGTTGTTTTCGTTTTGATGACCTCGCCGCAGCAGCAGCCGCAGAAATGCTCGAAATCTATAAATACTGGCAATCATTACGGGGTCTCATATTTTTATTGCATATTTTATTGGAATCTGAATTTGATGCAGCACTGGAACAGAGGCAGCAACTTCAGAATTTCTGATGCTGCAATCCAATTGTCATTCATGACAGCTGTCGATCAGAAATGGCGGCTGAAAAACATATCCGCAACAATGGAAATCGAGGGGGAAAACGAGGTGGTTGCTTTTGATTCAGAATTTTTAAATTCTCCCTCCTTGATTGAATTGAGTTCATGGTTCTCTGTTTTTTGTGTAATTGCCACCTTTTGTCGGGGCGAATGTTTGGCATATTTTGTAAATTATATTCTCCGGCAAATCTGTATTTGATTGGGCCATTTGCATAAGTTTATGAGACGTTATGTGATATCATATCATATCATATTCATGTGGTGTGATGTGATGTATGCAAATCCTTTTATTGATAGAGATGTCTACCTACAATTGACAGAAGTAAATCTAGTTTGATGGGAATATAATTGAATGGGTAATTTGGAGAAAGGAAAGTAAGCCCTTCAGTTGGGTTAGTACATAAACTCCATTGGAAGTCTAATTAATTTTTAACTCTCTGTGCCGATAGTTTTTAAGAAGTTAGGTTGTAATATACTTGATTCTTTACAAAAAAAAAATCATTTAAAACAGATTTTAGATAAAAGGTATTTTATACTAACGAAATAAAAAACACAATTGGCAATGATAAAAAAATCCAAAACAAATATCTTTCTTTTATCTTAAATATAAAAATGTACATGTACATATTTCTTAAAAAAATTAATATTTATATTAATATTTTGTATAATACAATATTCATTTTAGTTCTCAGAAAAAAATGTAACAAGGAACTTGTTGACTCATTAAAATTAAAACTATCTCGAAAACGTAAGGTAGATTTTTTTAAACATATTACTTCAATAAGCTAACAAAAATTCCTCTTGACAACTAAAATGCTTGATAAACAAAGTAAATTTTTGTGTACAACAAGAAAAGCCATACAATGTTTGAAAATGTGTACTTAAAGGTAGTTATGTTTTCCTTTCATAATTCACTTATCCACTTTGTATCTGCCCACATCTTAACCCAGCTGAATATGATCGAATATCATGCAAAATCTCCAGGATTCCCCGTCTCCTGGGCAATCAATTTCAGATGCGTCACACCTTGCCACCGATTCGGAATCGAGTGAGTGTCTGCCATGTGGCGATGACATTGTCATGTGCCAAACAGGAAGCCAAAACACCTTTGCCGAGATGTCAACGCCCGTACATTATCATCGAGTACTCGCCCATTCAAATGTAATTCGCATCTGATTCGACTTTGTACATATTTCAACTGCTGCTGGCGGAGACATCCGCGACGGGAAATGTGCTGACAATTGTTTTGCAAGCGGGCGCAACTCCTGTACAAAGTACTACAAACTCGCCCTCACCCCGCCGATTATCCTGTTCTGTTCTCTTCTGTTCTGTTGGCTGCAAAACATCTGTCGGATGTCATCGGAAGTTGTATCTGACGGCACGCCCCAAACAAATTTACTTTGGCCGAACTGTCGGCAGTTTGGAATTCACAATTTCAGAGGCGTCGACTGGGATTGAGTTGAAGTGTGGGCACTTTTTCAGCGCAAGCTGCTCGGGAATATTTCACGGCGTTTGGGCGTGTGTGTCTCGGCAGAAGTTACGGATATTATTCATAATTTTCCAACGTTCCATTGTGACATATGCCATTAGAGGATGGAGTGGAGGGGGCTCTAAAGTGAGGGTTGTCTTTCAGTGGAAATCAGTTTTGGGTTGCTGATATAGCCAAAGATCATTCTTGACCATCATAAATGATCTGTTCTAAAAATAAATAAATAATAAATAAATTTTGTTGAAAAACTAGATATACAAACTTAAGCTACATCAAGTCAATCGCAACTCAATCTCAATAACAAACTTTATGTAGAAGATTACAAATCCTAGAAAAGACCGAAATCATAATAATGCCTTAGTTTCCAGTTTGGTACCAATTACTAAAACAAAAATCAAAGCATCAAAAGTTTTACGGGTTTCCCATGATAATGACGTGATAATTGCTTCTGTCTGCTAAATCAGAGCGTTGTCCCGTTTCGGAAGCCTTGCAACTGACACATTCCACACCAACGAGCAAACACTGAGACACAGTTTATATTCGTGGCAAAGTTCAAAGGACACCTGCGGAGCGGTTTTAATTGCATCGCACAACACCAAAAGTGACAAGGAATCTTTTGGGTGCTGAGGACCGCCTGGCGCTAGGAAACAAAGTAATTACAAGGCCCAGCACAGACAGAAGCCCAAAGAGATGGGTTGAGTGGGAAGAAAAAAAGCAGACTTCAACTATATGGGATACACTAAAAAAAATTTTTGTTCTATTGTATATTAATACCATAAATAAATTTCAAATTTCTTCTCAAAAAATACTAATTGAAACCAGTAAAACCCCTCGCGTTTGTTTTATAAGTGATTAAGAAATTTTAATATATCTTAAAGGGCAATTGAAACTCTATTCTCAAGTTGTTATCATTATTGTAGGTATGAAAATAAAAAATAAAATGAAAATACAACTTTTTTAATAGGTGAAAAACATTTTTTTACATTTTTAAGACTGCATTAAAATGTTTATTGTTTTTAACAAAATTATATCCCTTTCATATTGGAAAATAAAAAGTTTTTTTGTGTAGAGGACATTGACAGCTGCCCCCGGAAAAAGGAAACCCGAAAACGCCACAACATTTATTCTTTGGCGCAGGGATGGGATTTGCGGAGAGTGCGAGAATTCTATTAGCACCGTCAAGGAAATCGCTTTTCCTAATAGCCATGTGCCACGTGTCCTGCGAAGCTCGAGTCCCCTGCTCAGTCGTGTGTCACAACCGAAGGACAACCGCAGTATCCTCCTCACTCCTGCTTCAAACAGAATATTTCCCATTTCGGGCAAACAATACAATTGAAAAATTATAAAAATTTCGCACTTTCCAAATCTACAGTCGAACGAATCCTCGTAACGAAAACCGGACGTCGTCCTTTTGCGGCTGCACTGGGAGATACACTTGTTCTCGGAAAAGGACACGCGTCAGAGTAATAGAGCTGGGGGGAAACGGAAAGGAAAAGGGGATGGCCAGACATCATCAATATTGCAAGAATCGCTCGGCAGATTGAGGCTGTCAAATAAGCGTAGCTAATGCGTATTAAGTGCACTCCGTCCGGATTCATCGAGGGTTGTCCGTAGCTCAATCCAGAAGTTGGCTTAATCACGCTAATAGCCGCAATTCATGCAAATGCTGCAGACAATAAAATATGCGTTGGGTATCAGTCAAGTCAAGTCAAGTAGCCAGGTCAAATGACAAGGGATATTGATAGGTGATTGGAGGTGTAGCTAACTTGGGCAGTTGGGTGTCTCATGAGAAATTCATGACTTTTTATAGCTTAAATTTAATTTGAGTTAAATAAACCCCGAAAGTCAGTTAAGCCAATTAAATTAGATATATGTAGTTACATACAAAATAACTTCTAATAGTCTGTCCATTCTATGTAAATACATCTAATATAATTAATTTAATTTGCTTTCGGAGTTTCATTATGTATTTTCATTTTTATACCCGTTACTCGTAGAGTAAAAGGGTATATTATATTCGTGCAAAAGTATGTAACAGCTAGAAGGAAGCGTTTCCGACCCTATAAAGTATATATATTCTTGATCAGGATCACTAGCCGAGTCGATCTAGCCATGTCCGTCTGTCCGTCTGTCCGTCTGTCCGTCTGTCTGTCCGTCTGTCTGTCTGTCTGTCCGTATGAACGCTGAGATCTCGGAAACTATAAAAGCTAGAAGATTGGCATTTTGCATGCAGATTCTAGGAGTTCCTACGCAGCGCAAGTTTGTTTCAAAAAGGTGCCACGCCCCCTTTAACGCCCACAATCGCTAATATACGATTTTAAAAATTTAAATATTTCGGAAAAGTAAAAATGCAGTTTTATTGTGTTTATCAATACCTATTGAAATGTAGAAGAAATTTTTCAAATCGGACCATTCGTTAAAAAGTTATGCGTGATCAAAGTTTCTATCTCCATCTCCCTCGCACTCCCTTTACCTGAGTAACGGGTATCTGATAGTCGGGGCACCCGACTATAGCGTTCTCTCTTGTTTTATTCCAAATTCCCTTTTCAATAAAAATAACTTTTGATTTTTTGCGCATCTTTTTTCTGATTTAATTTTTTAACCAATTGGAATATTAATTTTTCTTGTTCTGTATCACATAGCAATACTTAAGTCCATAAAAGAGCTTACAAAACTAATCTAAAACGAACCGTGCTAAACCAAATAGAAGTAACAACAACAATCAGCTCCCCCGTTCCCTTATTTTTTCGGGTTCCCCTTTTTATAGGGTAGCATTTTCCTAGGAATTAGGAGAAATGCATGCCATTGAATTGCTGGCGATCGTTCTTCACCATATTGTTGTACTTCCACTTTTCAGCACTCGAGGCCTGACTGCTCCAGGATCCTGATCCCAATCCCGAGCCACTATTTGACTTGGGCTGGGTCTGAGTTTTCGAGGAATGGTTGTCCTTGGTGGAGTTGCTCAGGCACTTGTCGGTACGTTCAGTGTAGACCATTTTGTCTCTATATTTTCCTTGGAGTATCTTTTTGAATAAGTTAAATTTTCTACCGATTACACAAAGCTGCGCTTCCAATGCGTCTGTAGAGAGGTCAAAGTTCACGGTACAGTTTGTAACAGGGTGAGTACTTTAAGTTCCTTGTTGTTAGCCGAGTTTCCCGTGCGCGATCCTTTTTTCGATGACAGGTGTTTGCCCAATCTGTTTGGAATAATATAAAAAATCGGTTTTAAAAGTGTGTCAATAATGTAATAAATGTTTATTATGATTTTTGTACTAGTCTTTATTAGTAGATTTTTAAATATTTAATTTATATTCACTTTAATCATTTAAAATGTTAATGTTATGTTTCCAACTGTGTTTTTTTGTTGCTCCCTTTTTTAAACTTACCTTGCTTGCTTCAACAATTTCTGCTTGGAATCTGTGTGGCTAATTTTTGGCATTGACACAAAACTTTTGCAACTTGCACATTGGATAGGAAAGAAAGGAAATTGTACAGCTCACGCTCCGGACAGCTCAGTACCGATCTGCTCTGGTATTGACTTTCTACTGACTCTCCAGCGGTTAACACAACTGGTTTAAATACGCCGATCCGATCCGTCGATCCGAGTGCAGTGTCTGGCGGAGGCACTGCGTCACCGTTCTACGAGTAAGTAACGTTAGTACCGCAGTGCCAGCTGCTGGCACTTCCAAGCCAAACGGACCAAGAAACCTCCCTCGCACCGCCCCTGCACCACTCCGCCCCCCTGGTGACCTCAGACTCAGTTTCAGTCTGAGGCTAACCCGTTCCAGCGGACGACAATGCAAATAAGAGCGATCAAGCAAGCAACTGGTTTTATCAGCGAAACCTTTGCAAACAACTTCACCTAGTTGTGAAGCTCGAATCTTTTACACCGCTTATATAAATATATATATTTAAATAGTTAATATATTCAAACTTTTGAAATTAAATGTAAAATATTAATAAATATTTAATGGTTAATATTTAAAGATGCCAATCTTAGGCTTTACTATTGCCCACATAACTCATCAAAAATGAAAAGTAATTTTACCTTGAAGTAGTCAGTCCTAGGTAATATATTACTTTGAGGGTTACCATCAAAAACTATTATTTATCTGAAAAAAATTGTTAAGGTTAAGTTAATAGTTGAGTTATTAAATAGAGAGTAATTCACTGTTATATAAAAAATTTCCATTTTCCAAAAAAAAGTTAATTCTAAGCCGTTTTAAACTAGTGTGAAAGTGGATTAGAAAAAAACTAGCGAAACTATCAATTTGACTTAATGCTAAGTTAAGTTCTTTAAATGCTTTCATTACTATATTTTTTAGCAATCAAGGGAATAACTTTTTTAATTTCTTGAAATTAATTTCTTTCAAATGAACTCTAAATGTAAAATTTGGCACTTTACTTTTGAGAAACCGAACCAATCCTAGTGTTTAAAGGGTATTAAAACCACCCCAACCGAACCTGCTACGCATCACGTAGTGTTCTCATTTGTCTTCTCTCCACAAACATGATCATTATGATTCAAATAACATTTAGAGTTGCCGGCCGGCGGTTTTTTTGACACGTCACCCAAAAACTTCCCCTAAATAGGGCTATTTCCCAACTCACTGGTCTTCTGAAGACATAGTAATGTTAATGTTTTCTGAATATCTGCCTATATGAATCTATAATAAATGAGTATATCGCCTGATCAGTATCGGTATAGCGTATTATGCATGAACCGACGACTGATGAAAAGTCTTGGTTGCATTGCATCAGCCAATTCGATCAAAAAAACAACTCGAAAGCCTGTTGTCGGTTTATAGTATTTAAATCTGTCGTGTGTAGATATATAGGTACCCGATCTGAATTATGCTGGAATCCAGAAAAGGGTAGCAGATGATAATGAAATTTAAAAATTTAAAACAATCAGGGCTATTCTGAAAATCTACAATTTTAGAATTAACTAAGTTTGACAAACTACTACGAATTTTTAAATACTCATTTTTAAACTAGTTAAATGAGTTCAATGATATTTGAAAAACAGTGAGGATAATGAACTAACATTTAAATTCCGCACAATCTAGTTAAACTTGCTAGGATCAATTTTTACAATAATACGGTCAATATTCAATGGTAAAAAACCCACAAAAACAATTTTATAGGTTTAATGACATTGAGGAACCCCCAATCTTCCACGTCCTTCTCCTAGAGGTTATTCCCAAAAACTCGTTTCAGAAATCCAAAATAATAATATCAAATCGAGTATTGTACTTTGAACGTCTAAGCCGTCGATTTAAATGTCAAATCTTGCATTTGTCTTGTGTATTATATAGCCAATTTATATGTCTGCCAAAAATTCCGTTGAGAATGCGTTATGCAAATGCGCCAGACACATGGTTCAATAATTAAAATTAAAACGTGTCCCAGACACAAAAAAAAAGAAAGTGAGTAAATGTATGTAGTATTAAGGACAGGTCGAGTTCTATAAATTTGGATACCAAGAATCTATATAAAGTGCTGAGTTCTTAAAAAGAAACACTTGTCTGGAATCCGTTGAGAAGAATGCACAATCGATCCTTGAGAAAACTGTCTTAAATGCTTGTTCCCAAAAAATCCCCCTAATTTATTTGTTTATTTGTTTGGTGTTTGAGTTTGTTTACTTGGTGGCCGAGATGTTTACCGTTTTGGGCTATCAATGGAAAACCGCGTGGCAAACTCGCTTTTGCTGTAGTTCCATTGACGTACCATTCGGTGGCGTAAACAAGAAATTTGGCTCATGTCTGCAGCGGTGATTTTGCATCACAGCCGCCGAAAAACTAGTTTAACCTGAGCACGCTCCGACCGCGTGATGATAGCAACTAAATCTGGGGACGCTTTCTGATATAAAAGCACCGCCCTCAGCTTGAAATCCAACAGACTAAAGTGTGAAGGCCTAGCAGTCGATACCTAATCAGCGATTTTCTAAAATATTTTCCCCAACGTGCAAAAACAAATGTGTCAATGAAGACACCGGACACCAAAGCCAAGCTGCTGAATAATATAAGGTGAGCAAGGAGAAATTAAAGTGAAAACCAGATAAATCTAAAATTATATAGGATACTAAATATTTTGCAAAATTTTTTTTACTCCAAAATGTAAATTTGCTTAGAAATTTGTTCATCAGGACTAAAAACTTCATAAAAGTATACAGCTAGATATTCATTATTGATTGTTCAGCTTAATTTTTTTAGTGATAAACATAAAAATTCTTAAACAAAAACTAATATATCTTCTTTTCCCTTTGCAGTCTATCTAAACATCTGTCTTCCAAGAAAGGCGGCTCTCGCACTAGTAACTGCGGCAATTGTCTGGAATTCTCCGTGCTGACGCGTCTCTCCAGTGTGCCCTGAATCCCCCCGAACACCACCAAGCTCATCTTAGCCTCTGTTTAAACTTGAAAGTAATCCTTGAAAATGGTTCACCAAATGCGCACACCCAGCAAGGCCATCCCGGCCAAGCACCTGAGTCCGATGAGGAGCGTTGAGGGTCTGGGCGGAAAGTATGCCGTATCCAGCAGTCCGGCGGACAGTTTTCTGCGGAATACGAGGCTCACGGTTCAGAGCAGCTCCCAGCAGTCGGCGGCCTTCAAATACAACCAGATGGTCACCAACAATCGGGAGCAGTTCAATAACCTGCACTTCTGCTAGGAAACGGATGGGAATGCCCATCGCCACTGGAGAGACCGTATTGGAGGAGAAAAATATCACTATGATGGCGATTATTTGTCACAATACGTAAATGCAATAAATTCATTTTTAAAAATTTCCACAAATTAATTGAATTTCATAAATCGCAGCAGTCACGTGCTGTAGGGTCGGGGGGTAAATTTATTTATTGCAAATTTTTTATTTTGCCAAATTAAATTACCCCAACTAAGCCTGCGAGCATTCGTCGCCGTCATTTTTCATTGTTTGCGGCTGTCTGCCTCACTTTGTCATATGCAAATGTGGCTGTGCGATTTTTGCACATTTGATATTCGGTTTTTTTCCACACAGGGCGCCATATTTTCACATTAGCACCGAATCAAAAGCTTTAACGTTTTAACATTCGCTCGCCGGGATTTGCATAAATCTTCGTTGGGTTTCGCAGGTTTTTTAGGCCCTGCAGGTGAGCAGAGAAAAAGACAGGGACAGTGCGAGTCACAGCTGTAAATCATTAGCCAGAAGAAAATATTAATTCTAAAGAAAGTGGAGTATTTTGAAATTTAGCGAAAGTAGTTTTGCAAGACACCATGTAGGTGATTTGATCCATTTTGAAATCAGGAATTTTTGTAAATAAATATATCAGTCACTAGGTCAAAAGAACAATAATAAAATAAATAATAAATAATTATAAAATATAAATATTCAGAAAGAATAAACCAAGTCAATTTAACCATTTTTTTTGGCATGGGCAATTAAAATAATTACAGAAACAAATTTGTAAATTTTAAAAAGCAAACTTTTTTCTTTTCATATAGAATATAATTATACACAAATCTCATTTATAATTTTCGATTTTCTAACCCGAACAATCAATTCCGTTTTAGTACTTTAAGTAAATGTATTTTCCAATCCCAAGTCCGAAGTCTACCGAAATTTTAAATAGCTCATTAGAAACTGCACGAGTTTCCTAAAGAACTGGAAACATTTAAAGTTTGTTTTAAAGTGACTTAATAAGCATACACAGGTGCCTCATCCCTTTAAAGAATATTATCACCTGTCTGTCCAACTACAGTAAAATGACTTGAAATACTCGAGAGTTCTGGCCCAGTAATTTATGCAAATAACTGGACTGGTATGCTAATATATACGTAAACAACGAACGTGTTTCAGATCGAATATATACAACATATGCTGGGCAGATCAGCTGACTGCCCGCGAACTAGTTAATCTGGAAAATAGTTATCAAACCGAAGACGATGACTAAACTGTTGCCAGGCTGAGAACCCCACAATTCCAGATTTAATAATTCCCACCCTGTAAGATCAGAGATTTTTTGGTAGCACAGTTGGCTGAATCGAAGGCATTAAAAGACAATCTGTTACATCGAAAGTGCACAAATCATCGCCAGCCACAGATTTTTATGCCCCAAAAACATTTTTATTATTCCACTAAATTAAACGTTCAGTGCGGATTGAGTTATATAACTAGGGGTGGGTGGTTTTCCAGGGGAGCGGGGCAGATACTGTGTGTGTGTCCTTGTGAGCGATGCGTCGACAGTCATTAAATTATCACACATTTAACTTCAAAAACAATTCAAAAGTAGCGCCCAGAACAAAAGGCAACCCTCGACCCTTGAACCCCCTCCCCTCCCTCTAGCTACCACCCCATTTCACCACCCCCTCACCCACTCGTTCCTTGGGAACTTGACTTTCACCCCCGCGGAAAGTGTTTTTGTGGCCCTGCCGCATTACAAGCTGAAAACATGGTTATTACATCAGTAAATTCCAGACGGGGGTGAAGGGTGTTCTGGGGGGTCAGGGGGTTACTTGTGGGCGTTGCAAAATGGGCGATGGATGGATGCTGTCCTGTGATGATTATGACAGCATGACGACTTATCTGAAACGACCTATTTGCCACCCCCCCAAGCCAGCTATTATGTCTAATTTAGTTTTTGCTTCTGTTTTTGCAATATGTCGACCATTAGCAGGAGGTGGGGCACTGCGAGGATTGCCCATGACGCGGCAGTAAGTGACGATAAATCATAAACGAAACATCAATTGCAGCACTTGACCCTAAAAGGACTTCCCGTTGCGTCAAAATGGACAGCAATCTTGGCGGTCTCGTATCCTTAAAATTGTTAAAGAAAGTAAGTAATGTGTACCAATATCAGCAACATCCTCTTCTTAAGTCCTTTAATACGCCGTGTCCTGGCCACGTGCCCTTAACTTTGTTGCAAATTAATTAATTGCCAAGAAGATGAAGACGGCAACGGAGGAAGATTGATTAAGAGACAGCCACGATAACCCTTCAATGCGGCTGTCAACTTATCTATCACGCCAACAGCCAGAAAAGCACTGCCCACCTATTTTCACTCACTTAATAAACAGTGAAAAATATTGGGAGTACAATTTGGGGGAAAGAACTTAAGAAAAGGACCTTCCTGAACAATCCAACAGAAAGGTTGCATACATTAGTATTAGCATTCTAACCATATTAGTATTAACAATGTAAACTGCTTAAGGAGTAAATAAGAAATAAAAATGTAAATTTAAAAAAAACATGTAACATTAATAGTAATAATTATTATTTTAAATGTTTTGACAAAACAAGTCTTTCAATTTAAAAAAAATATTTTGATTTAAAAGTGCATTTCGGGGTCAAAGGTTTAAGTTACAAATATTTAAATATAATTCTCTGTGCACCCCGCTTTTTCTGCTTTTCCTCTGACTATTTCGTTTTGATGATTTATCGACATTTGTGCGGAAATCGCTGTGCCAAAAGCCAGAACGAAATGAAACGTTTTCCAAAGCAGACAAGAGAGAGTTTTTCGCAGGCGGAAAAGGGAGGGGGTTTTCGGAAAAACAGAGAGAGAGGTGGGAAAATTGCAGGGAAACAGACTTCAGGTTCGTCCATGTTCTTGGAGCGGAAACGCAATCGGCGCACTGCCAAAAATAAATTGATTACTGTCACGGAAATAGCAACAACACACATATTCCATGGGGCATGGCTGCCCCAACTTTGTTTGTTAATCGATTTATTCGAAAAAGCACGAAGACGCGACTTACTAGAAAATGTCTTAGTAAGCGGCTTAAATCACAGGTAATATGACGGTGGTTGGAGAAAACTCAGGGGCTGTCTTTGGTAAGCGTTAACTTTATAGATCACGTGACATGGCAATAAATAGTTTGGCCTGTCAATTAAAGACACCCGTAAGTTAGCGATGGGTAAGGTAGGAAAATTCAATGAAAAACCTGGGGAAAGGGTGAAACTTCAGGTGATGGGAAGACAAGCACGCACGCAATGTTCACGCCTTCAATTTGTGCGTTAACTTCTTAGATACTTTTTCATATACGGTTATTGGATTAAGCACTTGATTGGTTTTACTATCGTTGATAAGGATATTATAAGCTGATTAGACATTTGATAAGGGGACTTAAAATGCAGATTAGATTTTTATTTCCATACTTTTCGTTGGTGCTGATTTACATGTCTTTAAATAGGCAGTTCCCCATTTTATTTAATTTAAACAAATAGAAATTATCAAAAATGAAAACGGCAAAATAAATATTTTACAAGAACAGCTTTTCTCTTTCAACAAATATGTAAATAAAGATTTATTTTCTTAGAACCATAAATTCTTATCAGAAGGAACTTTCTTTAAGTTTACTTTTCAACTATCTGACGGCAAAGTTTTCTGCCGAATGCCCAGACAAACCCCAAATCTCAAACCATTTTTTTTTAGAAGAAAGAGGATAGCGATTGATTGGCGGTAACAAATGTATTAGAAACTTTCTCTGTATAATTTCCGCATTTGCAAAAGAAAAACGGACACGGGTATATGAATACTTCACTTTAAATTGCACTTCCGTGCGAAAAATTGTTTATCGAAAACTTTCGTTTGATTTTCAGCCACCTTTTAACCACCTACCCTGGAGTTTCATTTACAGACAGTGTGAATAGAACGACGTTCGCTGTAAACCCCTTTCCGCCCCGCCCCCTTTTTTTCGCAGTGGCGTGTCGATAAAGTTTGCACCTATTGTCATTTTATTGATTTGTTATAAATTTCACACACGCTTATCTTTTCATGCGCTTCTATTAAATGTAAATGACTGGAAAATGCCACATGCCCCGCCCACAGTTTGAAACGGACACGCGCCGCCCCCAACAACCCTTTTTACAGCTTATCTGCGAATTTTCAATAAGATTTCCTATCATTTTAAATTCCATTTTATTGCCAGTACGAAATAAATGACCGGGTTCGAGAGTGGAAAAAGTGGGAAAGTCAAAAGCTTAAATGTTAGAACGTTAAAATAAATTGACACCGGGTAAATTCTTTTTCAGCAATTGCGATTTTCCCGCCCGCTCCCCTGATTCTTATCGATTTGGCAACACCTTGAGGAAAATTGGTAAGGGAGTGGAAACAGCTGCGGATGCTGCCCGGGAAAATCGTCTCGAGTTTTCCTCTTCCATTCACACTTGATTTGATAATCTGTCGTAAATTCTAACTTTTCACTTGTGAAACGCTCACAATTAAGTCACACTTTTAATGACGTGACGCTAATATTAAAACGGAACACTTCCTGGGAAAACCCACCCCCTCATCCCGATTTTCCACCCCCCTTGCAGCTGTTGACAGCGTCCAGTAGCTTTGACTTTGTTTTTGTTGTGACTGCTGCGCTAATTAGGCGAGACGTGAAAATTTTTGCTTATTATTTTCCCTAAATTTTAACGACCTTCCTTCAAACGCAAGTTGAACTGTGCCCATTTGGAAGATATTTTATATGGTGCAACATTTTGAAATTAGTATCTCAAGAATTACGGTTATTGTCAAAGTGAATTTTAATTAGCAAACTCCAAGTACTGAGTGTGAAAAGAAAATGACGAAGTCCGGAATAAACAGAGCATGTCGAATCTCTGACGACTGTCGAAGTTTGAAGATTGTCCGTAAAGTAAATTAAGATTGCACCAGATTGTTGGAAGCAGAAGGTTTTTGAAAATTAAATGCAGGTGACAAAGAAAATCGTTTAAATAAACTCCCAGTCATTTTTTTTAAAGCTTGCCTACTATATAAAAAAAATATGTTATAATCATTCGTCAGAATTTTTTTTATACATAAACCTACTTTACATTTTGATAAGGAGCATGACTAATATTTCTTAACTGCAGTGTAAGCAGAACCTCTGAAAATATGCTAAGAAAAAGGTGTATCTTTAGGTATGTCATGTAGTTCTACAGATATGTAAAAAAAATGTAAAGTATCTTTAATAATTAAATACACAAATGTTGCCATGAACTTGAAAGAAGTTTAAAGAATAATAATCATTAATTTATGATTTTTTAAATACATTAATGTTTGAAGACTTCGAAGTTATAAAAATTAATTAGATATGGCTATAAGCTTATTTTTCTTTTAATATATATTTTGCCATTACAAATAATTATTTAATTCTAATCTGTGACTATAAGTGAGAGCTAAAAGTTACTCATCCGAAATTACGTAATAAATCTGTCCCATTGTTCTCCCCATTAAAATGTATTGCTTGAAACAAAATCCCCTTCAGTCATTATACTTGCAATTTCGATTATATAATCTGCATATTGAGTCGGCCCTCTAAAGGTATGATTTCCGCTCCCCTCGTATGAAAACCCCTTGATTTGGCAATCTAATGGCCTACCGCAAATTGCTCATGACTTGCGGGGAGTATATGTTGGATTGTTTGGGTTAGGTGCATATATCGGAAAACTCAGCCTCGGCTAGATTAGGAAAATGCAACAGGGCAGTTTGCAACTCACTGCAATTGCTGTTAGCCAAGTTGGCTCTGAGTCGCAGTGCCTTGGCTTTCAGTTGATCGCGGATCGTGGCCGTGACAAGTTGCAATTCTAATTTTATAGGAAGTCAAGAGGTAATAAAAGTCTTGTTAGTCTTTTGGTAATAAAAACTTAATAAACGACGGAAACGACATTATCAATTTTTCAATGAAAACATACAATGTTGCTGTTTTAAACTTAAAATTAATATTCAGTTTATATATGGGTTTCAGCCAAATATAAATTTAAATGACCAAATATTATAAAAAAAATTTTAGACCACAACCTAAGAAGTGTTATAGCCATTTGTAAATAACATGAATTATAATTTAAGAGCAATAAACTAATAGTGAACCAAGAACAAAGTCAAGCATTTAATCAGAAATTACATGATGAAATTGGCAAAAACAAAGTTTACAGCCAAAGGCCATAATTAAATAATTGGGTGGACACCTCTTAATTGTCACAACTTGGTACGAAACTCTTAAGAAATCCGCCGCTTAAATGTATGTCCATTAAACAATTGAAAGTCAAATTCCGGTCACGATCTTAGCATATTCTCAGATACAAACGTTTAAGCTGCAAGTGCAGCCAAGCCACGCTGCATATACAATAGTATCTGAAACACCAAAGAGCAAAAACAACCTTTTGTTTGCCCCAGCGAACTTTGATTTTTTGTGCAGACTCCAGAATGGGCTGTGTTGCATATTGCTAAATAATGTGGTATTTAAAAAAATTTATAAAGGTTCTAAAATAGAACGCTTAAATCGAAAACGTTTTTCCGGTCAAATGTGTAATTGTGGCCAATAAATTTATGTGGAGATAATTTTGAACATTTATAATATTGTAAAATGCAAATAATTTATGGCTGTTATAAATATCGCCATAACTTTTCCGTTGACTATAATCCCCTGGCTTGATTAGTTTGACCGAAATCACAGAATCAGTAGTTATTGTATAAAACCAAAGTGTAAGGCTATTAAACTAATTCTTCTACATCTACATATAATAAAATAAGCAAAAAGGCTTGGCCAGCTCAACGTTCATACTTAGAATTTAATCGGTGATTACTCAATTCCATTCCTCGTATTTTTGATGTAACTAAAGTGACTTGCGATGCTGCTGCTATCACTGTTTCTGATGACCTTTTCCATGAGAACGGAACCCACTGAAGCGGCTCAAATTCTGGGCTTGTTTCAACATCCCGGCAAGAGTCACTTTGACTTCTTTAGGCCTATGTTTTTGGCCTTGGCGGAAAGAGGTCACAACATCAGCATGTATAGCTATTTTCCACTGGAGAAACCAGTGACCAACTATACGGACCACGTCTTCCAAGGAATGCCGCTGCTCACGGACATTGTGGACTTAAAAGTAAGTTTAAATTTGTGAAACAAAATACTTAAATAAAAACGTACTCCTTTTTAAAGATATTCGAATCGGAATGGAAGCCATTGGGACTGCCGTTCAAGGTGCCCACCTTTTTCATGCTCCACGATTGGGGCCTGCGATCCTGTAAGGTGGCCTTGAATTCCCCACTCATCGCCCAGCTGCTGGAGTCATCCATTCAATATGACGTCATAATCCTGGAGAATTTCTCCAACGATTGCATGGCAGCGGTGGCTCACCTGCTGAAAGCACCTGTGATTGCGTTGAGTAGCTGTGCGATAATGCCATGGCACTACAAACGAATGGGCAGTCCGTTCATTAACCATATAATGCCCATGAACTTCCTGCCCTACACAGATGAGATGGGTCTGATCGATCGGCTGAATAATTTCTTCCATTTCCACACAGTGAACACACTTTACAAGTGGGTATTTCTTAATCTCACATTGAGAATGCTTCTTATCGACTACATTTTTTCCCTTGAACAGTTTGATTACCCAACCAGCCACCGATGCAATGATTGCTCAGAGATTTGGGCCCATACTGCCTCCCATCAATGAGATCGTGAAAAATACAAGTCTTATGCTAATCAATCAGTATTATGCTCTTACCGGACCACGCCCATATGCTCCAAATGTTATTGAAGTTGGAGGGCTGCAAGTGGGTCCTCTAAAACCTCTGCCACAAGTAAGTAAATTAAATACAGGAAAATAAATAATCAGATTGGGAAATTCTTTACTTAACCAAAAATGTACTGCATTTGTGTTTAATGATCACACAAACCGTTTATCTGCAGGTCACCAAACTCTTTATCGAATAATCCGCCGTCATTTTAAATCGCAAAATAAATAAAACAAAAGATAATACGGGTAAAATGTAAACAATTTTTATAATTTTATAATTAAATATGTGCATCTTAATTTAACAACACTAAGGAGTGGCTGGTCCAAAATTAATTCCATTAGCCTTTCGTTCGTCTGCTGATTAAATTGAAAACAAACAAATTATATAATGATAAACGCCAAAGGCATTTAAATGAGATTAGCAAATATTTCACGTTTCATTATTTAGGTCAACATTTAAAAGCATGTGTCGTTATCAGACAAATGCGTGCTGGCAAAATATGTCACCGAAATTTAAAAATACTTTAACACTTGCTTCCCAAATTAAACATAAGCACCTCGAGGTTTTTCTCAGAACTATCTATGTATTTCTAATAATTTATTTTTAGTTAATCTATTTTACCTAAAGATAGAATATATCTTTTCCAATAATTACTAAGTAATCTTGCGTAAGTTTTAAAATAAAAATTAAGTTTAAAGAAATAGGCTATGCTCGTATATATTTTATCTTTTAAACAATACTTTTTTATTTGGTTCCAGCATCTTTTAGATCTGTTAGATCGCTCTCCCAACGGAATCATCTATATAAGCTGGGGATCCATGGTGAACACCAACACACTACCTTTAGCCAAAAGGAGTGCGCTTTTCCAAAGCATTTCCCATCTGAAAGAATACAACTTTGTGATGCGCTGGAAAGATGATAATTCCCTGATAAATGATAAGCCACCCAATCTGTACACCTTCGACTGGTTGCCCCAGAGAGATCTTTTGTGTCATCCAAAGGTGAAGGGTTTTATTTCCCATGGAGGACTTTTGGGCACCACTGAGGCGGTTCATTGTGGAGTTCCGATGTTGGTGACACCTTTCTACGGGGATCAGTTTCTGAATGCCGGCGCCATGAAACAGCGGGGCTTTGGAGTGATCGTTGATTTCAGTGATTTCGATACGGATCACATAACCAGGGGACTTGGAATAATACTCGACAAAAAGTAAGGGGTACAAAAATATTAACCTACATTTTTGATTAACTATTTAAATTAAAATTGTTTTAATGTAACCTTGTGTTCCTTTACAGATTTGCGGATAATGTTCGCCGCTCTACCGAAGCCTTTCGCGAGCGACCCATTTCTCCCCTCGAATTGGCTATCTGGTGGATCGAGCATGTGATTACATCAGGGGGAGCACCTCTTATTAAAAGTGAAGCCAGACATAACAACTGGATTATCTACAACTCAATCGATGTTTACCTGTTTTGGCTGGGAGTCGTATGGCTGCTGATCGCCACCCTTTGGAAGCTTATCAGGGGAATTGGATCAGTTTTTGTTCGGTCGAAAAGCTCAAGTCATCCAAAAACAAAGCAGCAATAAAAGTAAAACGCAAAATGGAACAAATTTGACTTTTCACTGGAAAGATAATTTCCCTTAAAAAAGGTTATTTGTATTCAACACGAGTTTAGGTTTTTTTTAATCAAAGCCCTGGAATCCGGAAAAATCAAAAACAGCATAATTCCTCAAAAATAACCACATTTAGCTAATTTAAAACAGACTCATTTAACCATTTGATTAACTCAATAACCCATTAATGTGTCACGAAGACAATAATATGTTTGAATAATTCATATAAATTTGGGTGGCATATGCATAAATTATGTGTATAATTATTTATAATTAAAGTTATATAACGTAGGTTTTTGTGAGCGAAAAGTCCAATAAACCAAAACTTATACTGCATGCTGCTTTCACTTTTTGATTTATTTATCAGCTCAATCAAGAGTGTCATTAACATTGTCATTTTCTAATCATATAAGAGAAGACTCTTGAATATTAAACACTCTATTAAAATTAACTAATTTAGCATAATATAATTATGAGTTTTATATAATATTTTCCAAAACGATTTGTTGATTTCGACTGCGGAAAAGTAATTTAAATTCCAGCTATGTATATCGATAAAGGAATTTTCTAAAGCGTGTTCTGAATGTAAAATGATCAAAAAATATAAATCGTCATTGCAAATACTTGGCTTTCCGTATTTGTTTCGAAACACCGAAAACAAGCCCGTATCAATTAAATGTAAACACCCGGCAAGCCTTGAGGCAAACAGTGAGCGTAGAGAGCGATAAACAATTGCCAGACTCGTCTGTTGTTTTGGTTGCTTAATTTACTTTCTACTGCCGGTTGTTAGGTCTCGTGTACGAGGGCAAGTGTTCTACACTCTCCCACTGTCTATCTGAAAGTCTTATTCTCAAAATATGTAGCACACTCTAGCTTTCCTTGTGAGAGACTCATTCGACTCGGGAGGCCGAAAAAAGCTTTAGACAAAGATCGGTGATGTCAAAAATAAGTGAATATATTAAAAATAGCTACTGGAAACAATTGCTTAAGCAAAGTTCTGACAAATAATAAAATAGGGAGTGGATTCTAGATGTTCACTGCTACTTGAAAATATTGTAATTCTAATTATATTCCAAAATAACACAAAAGTACAGAAATTTAAAGAAATGGTTTCCTCATGAATAATAATTCTGGGGGCAAGTTCACTGAAAAAAGTTTTGGGATTCCCTTGTTGTTTAGTCAGTTGGTAAACGCTAAGTAATTTTTTTTAGATTCAACTCTATAAAAATTCTATTAACATATTTTTTTCAGAATTATAAGTGAATCGTTTTTTAAATGTTTTTTATAGTATAATTGCAAAGTCGAAACAATGAAATAATAAAATGTATTCCCTTCTTAAATTTTGCTAGAAAAACGCTATATGAGCAACACTGCCGAAGCCTGAGATTGATTTCCGATCGCTGACTGAGCAATTTTGGACTGTGGGGCATTGCTGCTCTTTGTCGAGCGTTGACCGAAGAGCTTTCCATTCGCCTCCATTTCTCTGAATTTAGTCAGTCGCTTGTCGGCAGTCGAACAAGTAAGTAAGAGTGGAATCATTATAAAAACAGGATTTAAGTGCGAAACCAACGATTCGGCATTTGGATATTTTGTGTGTGTATCCATTTCATCGGTTCAATTGAATTTCGGAGGAAAGACCCCTTAGAAGTCAATAATTGTGAATTTATTTACGAGTGCAGTGTGAACTGTGATGCAATTGCCGTTGCTTTTGTTGTGCTTGTGTTTTCGCCTGCATTCTTTACATAATTTCCCTGCATTTCTTGCATTCGCGACATGCGCATTGCCGCCCACCGCCCCATTCAAGGTCGAACGAAAATACTGCAGAACCAAGAAAGCCAAGAGTCAACAAGTGTTTCTGCACCCGGTGCTCGACAAAAGTCTAGGAATACTGTGTTATAAGGAAGTCTTGTAACAGATTCGAGAACTGCCTGAATCACATTTTAATATCAGTGAAACTATTCTCAGTTTTATGAAATGATATAATTTATTAAAATAAATGCTTTCCTATAATGTTGTTTTAAAAAACTTTTTTACAAATCACTACTAACCACAAAAAATTAAAAAAAAAAAAATTGTAATCTACATTCAGTAAGAAACAAAAACGATATCACTTATTTTAACTTTTTGAATGCCCATTATTTCATATAACAACATAGAAAATATAAGCAGCTTAAAATAAATTTAAAATGTTTTCACATATTTGTATTCTCTTTGATTTCTAGATTAATCGAATAGAAATTTTACTTTTCGGAGAAAACAATGTGGCCTCCGCTGGGCGTTCTAGTCTTCCTGGCCGTGTCCTTCAGCCAACCCCATGAGTTGGTGGAAGCCGCTGGTCCGCTGAATGTGCTGGGCCTCTTTCCCCATCCCGGAGTCAGCCACTTCCACTTCTTCCACCCCATCATGCGGGGTCTGGCCGAGGCGGGACATGACGTGAGCGTGGTTTCCCATTTCCCGGACAAGCATCCGGTCATCCGCTACAAGGATTTCCCCCTGACCGGGATAGACAAGCTCACGAACAGTGTGGATCTTAAGGTACGTAAAGGGGGAACCCCCTGGGAGTGTCGGAAATTTAGCTATTGTTAAGAGTTCAGTTTTATTTGTAATTACCTGTTAGCGAAATAGCAAAAAATAGTCGTAAATCATGAGAATAAGTATAGATAAGATTTATGATTTATTTAAGTATTACTTACGACTTACATTTTCCCTTTAGTTCTTTGAAAAGCGCACTTTCTACAATCACTTCTTGGAGTTCTTCTTGCTTCACGAGTGGGGCAAACAGGCCTGCAATTTTACGCTCCGATCGGATGCACTGCAGCAGATCCTCAAGCGTCGTCCGGGACACTTTGACGTCATTATTATGGAGCAGTTCAACACGGACTGTATGATGGGGGTGGCGCATCAACTCCAAGCGCCGGTGATTGCTCTAAGCAGCTGTGTGATGATGCCCTGGCACTACGAGAGAATGGGAGCCCCTTTGTTACCCTCCCACGTCCCGGCACTCTTCATGGCCCAGTCGCAGGATATGGACTTCGGTGGTCGTCTGGCCAACTGGTTTAGCACCCATGCCTTGAATTGGATGTACAAGTGAGTGACATATTTATGGTAATTTTTTGCTTTCCACACTCGATACTTTAAGGAACGAACAAATATTAGATGGTATTTTTAATATATAAAACTTTTCCCCACAGATTACTATCTGTACCCGCGGCCGATGCCCTGGTTCAATACAAATTCGGCCACGATGTCCCTTCGGTGGGTGAGCTGGCTAAGAACACATCCTTGTTCTTTGTGAACCAGCACTATTCGCTGTCAGGACCCAAGCCAATGCCCCCCAATGTGATCGAGTTGGGCGGCATACATATCCAGAAATCGAAACCCCTGCCTGATGATCTGCAGCGCATATTGGACAATGCCGAGGAAGGAGTGATCCTGATCAGTTGGGGCTCCATGATCCGGGCGAATTCCCTTTCGGCCGCCAAAAGGGACGGCATCGTACGGGCTGTGGCCCGATTGAAGCAGAAGGTTATCTGGAAGTGGGAGAACGAAACGCTGCCAAATCAGCCACCCAATATGTACATTATGAAGTGGCTACCCCAGCGCGATATCCTCTGTCATCCGAACGTAAAGGTGTTCATGTCCCATGGTGGACTAATGGGCACCTCGGAGGCAGCCTACTGTGGAGTTCCAGTGGTGGCCACGCCCATGTACGGCGATCAGTTTGTGAATACAGCCGCTTTGGTTCAGCGCGGCATGGGAACCATCCTGCCATTTGAGGACATCGGAGAGAACACAGTGATGCGGGCTTTGAAAAAGGCACTAGACAAGAAGTGAGTAGACCTTATGATAGTTGAGTTCTAGCCTAATATTTTCCGAATCCTTCAGGTACTACGATGCCGCCAAGGTCGTCTCACACGCCTTCAACCACCGCCCACAGCAAGCCCTGCAAACCGCCATTTGGTGGGTGGAGCACGTGGCCCACACGGGCGGAGCTCCACTCCTGAAACCCAGTGCCGTGCATATGTCCCGATTCACCTACTACTCCCTGGACTGCTACGCTGTGCTGGCCGTAATCCTGGCCAGCATCATTGCCAGTTGGGTGTGGCTTCTAAGACGCTGCTGCGGATCCAGTTCCTCTAACAAGACTAAGAGGGATTAGTGGGCTCATCCCGACGCCGCTTTATTTGTGGTGTATGTGATATTTTATATGTTCTGTGTAAGAGACTTTTAAGTGTAAAGACGCCTCCTCTCAAGGACTTCATCTAGACGTAAATTAAGGGACGCCAAATTAAATATAATGTGTACTAGAATTGGTATTCAACCCACTCAATAGTTTTTTTTTATTTTTGGGAAGTTCTTGAATATACATTTTGCTGTGAAAGACAATTGTACCTAATCAGGGTATAAATATAAATTCGTTTATATTTACATTTTCTGTTGCATACTTTAGGGGATATTTAGAAATTATTTTTCGAAATGTTTGTTTGGAGCCTACGGCATAACACCTTAGATCAACTTAAGCAAAATAAGAGTAGCACAAAGTGATAATCAGATCCTTTTTTAATGCCCCTTTGTACATGAAAACTAGATATATAAAAAGAGACCTTAAAATACCAAAGATTGGCGATGTTTGGCGTCTTGGCTCTCACCTTAATACCCTGGCGAAAAGACTGACCTTGAGAACCAAAAACAAAGAGATTAAAGAAATTGCACTCACGCGATCTCCCATCAATATTAAGTCAAATCAAAGCAAATTTATATTATATATATCAGTAAACTTGTTTGTTGTTCAAATAAATATACTTGAAATATAGAAAAAGGTTTTCTATAATGTTAGTGCTGGAAAATTAAAGGTAAACAAATTTGGGTTCAATTATTTATTTTGACTTATTTAAGAAATTGTTCAATAAAATTGTTTTGGTAAGATAAAAAAAAAAAAAGCTTTTTATTCCAGTGTACTTTTACTAACGAAAACCCTTTAGAGTGTTCTGAAGACCAAATTTTTACTTGATGCTCTAAGAGAAAAGAGCTAAGAGTCATTTGATGCTAATATTTCGACCGATTCGGATATCTCTCCCCGGATAAAAAACGCCGGTGAATTTTCCTTGTTTTTCGTAAATATTTATAAAAAAAGAAAAGTTAATATTTTCATTAGACAAATTTAGTTTATTTCACTTTTTTGAAGACTGATTTGAATCTGATCCTCTAAGAGAAGAGAAGCTAAGATCGGTTCTCCAAGTTCTCTCTAAAATATACGATAATATAAAAGTATATGTATGTTGTCGCCGCCTGAACAAGCCTTTACCTTACTCGTTCGTGTCAGTTGATGCTCATCTTTCGACCGATCCGGATCACTCTCCCGGAAAATCAACGCCGGTGATTATTTTTTGTTTTTCGTAAATAATAATGAAAAAAGAAAGATAAACATTTTAATTAGTTAAATTTAGAGGTGCATTTCACACAAACAAACATAGAAAAATAAAAATTCATATCTTGAAAATCCAGTGCATAAAAGTTGTCACGATAACTCGACATGAATTTGTGCTCCCCTCCAAGTAAAATGGCATATGATGAAAATAAATTTTAAATAAGATTCTCACCCTGACTCGTCATAAACTTGACCCTTCCCCCTCGTTTTGCAGCAATATGTGTGTTTGGAAAGGTTTCTGCCTACTGGCGCTTCTTTCTCTGGTAGTTTCCAGCGAATCCCTGCGTATCCTGGCTATCTTTCCCGTTCCGTCCATGAGCCACTTTAAGTTCTTTCACCCGATTGTGCGTAAACTAGCCGAGAATGGTCACAGTGTGGATGTCATCAGTCCCTTCGATGACAAGGAGCCGCCAAAAGGCTATACAAATTATCTGCTGCCGGCCACCACAATGACGGACACAATTAACTTGGAGGTGAGTTTTTGAGATGATAAATATAAAAGGTCTTTGAAACACTTTATTAATAAATGCCCTATATCTAAATGATATTTTTATGCGGAATGCTTTTGCCAGCTTAATATATCCGTTACTCGTAGAGTAAAAGGTTATTGCATTCGTTGTTAAGAATGTTTTCTTAGGACCACAAACCGAAAAATTTTTTAGAGACCTGTTAGAGTTTAGTTATAGGATTAATATAAATCGACACTCCAAAAATTATTAAAATAATACATACATATTAAGTGTTAATTATGACGTCGCTGCACTTGTGAAAAACGGAATTAATATTTTTGAGAGAGCGGGATATTTATTTTTTATTTGGTTAGCTGAGTAACGGGTATCTTATAGTCGCTGCTCTCGACAGTAGCGTTTCTGCTTGCTTTATTCTAACATACATACAGTAGCAATAATATTATTATATATTTAGCATTTAATTTACCCCTTACTAGTAGAGTAACTGGGTATATTGTATTCGTTGTAATGTAACTACATTTGTATGTAACTAATAGTAATTTCTAGGGTTAATATCGCCAGGCTTTAGACAAAATAAGTATTTAGAAAAACCTAAGAAGGATTTTTGAATGTAATTGATCTCAAATTAAATCTTAATTTAACCATTTACCTAGGATTTCGAGAGGCCTTTACAGTTTTTATTCCACTACATCGAATTCTTTGTCCTGTACAACATGGGAAAAGAAAACTGCAACACCACTCTACACAGCTCAGCCGTATCTGAGATCCTGAAGCATCCTCCTGGTTATTACGATGTCATCCTGCTGGAGCAATTCAATACTGATTGTGCAATGGGAGTGGCCCATGTGCTGCAAGCACCGGTCATTGGGATGAGCAGTTGTGCCTTGATGCCCTGGCATTATGAGCGATTGGGTGCTCCTCTGATCCCGTCCTATATCTCAGCCCTGTTCCAGGGACAATCCCAGAATATGTCCTTTGCGGGAAGGCTCGGTAACTGGATTACTGTACACTCGCTCAATTTACTGTACAAGTAAGTATTTTTTTACGGATTATGTAAATATTTGATTTTTAAATTCAGCATAATTATAACGTCTAGTTTATTATGTTTTGCACTTACCTTAGTTATAATTACAAAAGTGTTGAATTTTGTATGGCGTAATAATACTTTGATCTTTTCTAGAATTTTTACAGTTCCCGCTGCCAATGCCGTGATCCGCCAGAGATTCGGTCCTGGCTTACCCTCCACGGAAGACATGGTCAGGAATACTTCTTTGATGCTGGTCAATCAACACTTCTCGCTGAGTGGACCTAGACCGCTGCCCCCGAATGTCATCGAAGTCGGTGGTGTGCACATAGGCCCATCGAAACCTCTACCCTCAGATATCCAACAAATACTGGATAATGCCTCCAAAGGAGTGATTCTCATAAGTTGGGGCTCTCAGCTGAAAGCGAGTTCCCTTCCCGCTGCCCGAAGAGATGGTATAGTTCGTGCCCTTGGAAAATTGGAGCAGCAGGTGATCTGGAAGTATGAAAACGATACTCTTCCGAATAAGCCTGCAAATCTGCATATTAGGAAGTGGCTACCGCAGCGTGACATCCTCGCTCATCCTAATCTAAAAGTATTTATGTCCCACGGTGGATTGATGGGCATCACAGAGGCGGTGGCTAGTGCAGTGCCTATTGTGGGTGTTCCCATTTACGGCGATCAGTCTCTCAATATTGCCGCATTGGTACAGCGAGGAATGGCCTTGCAGCTGGAGCTCACGAAACTGGATGAAAATACAGTCTTTGAAGCGCTTACCAAGGCCCAGGATCCCTCTTTTAAAGTACGAGCTAAGGAGGTAGCTTCAGCTTACAACAATCGCATTCAGGATCCTTTGGAGACTGCCATCTGGTGGGTAGAACATGTGGGGGAGACCAAGGGAGCTCCTCTGACCCAACCAAGTGCAGTTTATCTCTCCCGTTTCGTTTACCACTCCCTGGATGTGTATTTGGTGGTTTTCCTAATCCTTCTGCTGCCTGTGATCACCTTAGTCGGATTAATCCGTTTGTGTAGAAAAGAAGAGCCTAAAAGCTCCCCAAAGCTGAAAAGCAAAAGAAACTAGTTCGTAGATTTATTTATTTATTTATATGTTTTTGTTTTTACAGATTATGTTCGATTTGAAAAAGAAGTAATAAATTAAAAGAACAGTGTATTTTGTGTTGCCTTAAAAAAAAACAGTGTATGGTTTTCCGTTTTTTTTTTTGTTAAACAAAACACTTTGATGAAATTAAAAGTCGAAGATCACAAAAACAGTTTCATTTTAATACAAATATATACAAAACATCAGTTCCCACCCTTTACAACTTGGCTTTGGAAGAACCCGGGAAGCCCAGACGGTAGAGGGCCACCACCACAGCTCCTCCCAATCCCAGATTGTGCTGCAAAGCCAACTGGGCATTTGGAACCTGTCGCTTCTCAGCCAGACCACGCAACTGCCAGCAGAGCTCAGCACACTGCGCCAGGCCAGTGGCTCCCAGAGGATGACCCTTTGAGATCAGACCACCACTGGGGTTCACGACGAACTTTCCACCGTAGGTGTTGTCTCCGGCATCGATGAACTCGCCGGCCTTGCCCTCGCCACACAGTCCAAGGGCCTCGTAGGTCACCAGCTCGTTGGCCGAGAAGCAATCGTGCAGCTCCACCACCTGCACATCCTGTGGCTTGTAGCCGCTCTTGGCGAAAAGACGCTGGGTGGCCAGGCGGGTCATGTCGGTTCCAGCAATCTTCATCAGGCTCTTGTCGGCAAAGGTGGACGCCGGATCACTGGCCATCTCCATGCCAACGATCTCAACGGCCTGTTTCTCCAATCCATGACGGCGGACGAAGGCCTCGGAGGCCAGGATGGCAGCTCCGGATCCATCAGAAGTGGGACAGCACTGCAGCTTGGTCAGCACTCCCTCCACAACCTGGGGCGACTTCATAATCTGCTCCAGAGTGTACTCATCGCGGAACTGCGAGTAACTGAAATCAACAAATGAGAACAGATAAAGACAACGCGTGTGCGGATCAGCTGCATACAACTATTGGAGTGGATGATGGTCTATAGCTTGGTCTACTTATTTCTCTGTTGCCAGCGATAAGATAAGCGGAAGGGTGAGGTGAACTTTCGACCGAACTTACGGATTGTTAACTGAGTGCTTGTGGTTCTTCCAGGCGATCTTGCCGAAGTGCTCGGGCTTGGTGCCGTATTTCTGCATGTGCTCCTTGCCAGCGTTTCCAAAGATCTGTGCAGCCATGGGTCCAGCTCCAATCTCGGTCAGCTCACCCATCTCGGTGATGTGACGCTCCATGGGATTAGCGCGATCAAAGTACTAAGAAAACGGTATTAGTAAAGACTTTTTTAAGGGTTTTACTGATGTACCTTTGAAGACAAGGATCCACGCTCCATCTTCTCGAATCCCAGAGCCAGGACGCAGTCGGCGTTTCCACTCTCCACGATCTGCTTGCCCAGATACAGAGCGCTCGATCCCGTGGAGCAGTTGTTGTTCACGTTGTAAACCGGAATGCCGGTCATTCCCACCTCGTAGATGGCCCGCTGTCCGCAGGTTGAGTCTCCATAAACGTATCCAGCCACCGCCTGCTGCACTTCCTCGAATTTGATGCCCGCATCCTCTAGGGCTTTCGTAATGGCCTCCTTGGCAAAATCTGGATAGCATACATCCGCTCGGCGACCGGGCTTCTCGAACTGCCGGAATAGATATTAAAACGAAGGATGAACATCAGATGGATGATTATAGCCAATGCGGCACAAAGGTCAATCTTCTGCAGGCGAACCTTGGTCATGCCCACTCCGATAACGTAAACTCTTGTCTTCGTCATTTTTCGGCTGTTCTTTTATTTCGGGATTCCGGATCGGACTTTCTTTATCGACTAAGGTGGATCAACAGGTTGCCGGCTTATATACGAAATGATAATGATAACAACTGATCTGCTCGTTCAGCTTGTTTTCCGTTAAAATTAAATTTTTTTTCTGTTATGATATTTAAAAACTTTGACTTTTTTATTTATAAAAATATATATTAATTTTAATAAATAAAGAACATAACAAATATTAAGTTTGTCCAATTTTACAATTTTTATAACCCGTTAAAAAGTTCAGCACTGAAAGCAGGGCTGCAGGCTGTTATATATCGTTCTGGTATTTTACTTGGTATAAATCTTTTAATCCAATACCTCCAAAACTGTTTTTATGAGCAATATACATATATAATATAATAATTCATTGATAATTTAGTTGAATTAATTGTTTATATTTATATTTATTTATTTTATTTATTTAAAAAGCTATATGTAAATTCTACGGATAAAATTGATTATTTTCTGGAGGAGAAATCTATTTAAAAGAAGCGCCATTTGCTTTACTATTCGTTTGGGGTGAATTATTATTTAAGGGTAGTCTGGTCTCACTGCACACAGTTTCTAGACCCCCGATTAAGTTTTAATTAATCGCTCTTTAGCACTAGTTGCGGTATTACCTGTTTTATTTACGATTTATCCATCTACAAAATGACGAAAAATCGTGTTTATGTTGTCGGTGTGGGAATGACTAAGGTATGTACCCCAAAGTCGCCGAAAGTAATTAGCAACAAAAAAACATAAACAACAAAACAAAGACTTTAAAGAGCAGCTTTGCGAAATTGCAAGTAACTTCAATATTGAGAAATATTTTAACAATTGCCGGACTTTGAACTGGGTGCACTTCGCTCGCTAATCTGCTCTCGAATGTTTGTGGCTCCACATCTTTATCATTATAATATGTGTGCCTATCAGTATCGCTCCTTTTGGTCCCCTGAAGTGGCACGATTATAAAAGTATTTTTAATCTACATTCTTGGTTACCAATGCTAATCTCTGATAATCAACCATCAAAAACTCCGTTTTCTTGTACTTCCTACAGTTCGAGAAGCCCGGTCGCCGAGCGGATGTATGCTATCCAGATTTTGCCAAGGAGGCTATTACGAAAGCCCTCCAGGATGCGGGCATCAAGTTTGAGGAAGTGCAGCAGGCGGTGGCTGGATATGTTTATGGAGACTCCACCTGTGGACAAAGGGCCATCTACGAGGTGGGAATGACCGGCATTCCGGTCTACAACGTGAACAACAACTGCTCCACGGGATCGAGCGCTCTGTATCTGGGCAAGCAGATCGTGGAGAGTGGAAACGCCGACTGCGTCCTGGCTCTGGGATTCGAGAAGATGGAGCGTGGGTCCTTGTCTTCAAAGGTACATCAATAAAACCCTTACAAAAGCCGTTACTAATCCCGTTTTCTTAGTACTTTGACCGCGCCAATCCCATGGAACGTCACATCACCGAGATGGGTGAGCTGACCGAGATTGGAGCTGGTCCCATGGCTGCCCAAATCTTCGGCAACGCTGGCAAGGAGCACATGCAGAAATATGGCACTAAGCCCGTGCACTTTGGCAAGATCGCCTGGAAGAACCACAAGCACTCTGTCAATAATCCGTAAGGCTTACCTATAATCATTACAGCAATGGCTTATCTAATCTTTGGCCTTATTGCCTCCGCTTAGCTACTCGCAGTTCCGCGATGAATACACTCTGGAGCAGATTATGAAGTCGCCCCAGGTTGTGGAGGGAGTGCTGACCAAGCTGCAGTGCTGTCCCACTTCCGATGGTTCCGGAGCTGCCATCCTGGCCTCCGAGGCCTTCGTCCGCCGTCATGGATTGGAGAAACAGGCCGTTGAAATCGTGGGCATGGAAATGGCCAGTGATCCGGCGTCTACCTTTGCCGACAAGAGCCTGATGAAGATTGCTGGAACCGACATGACCCGCCTGGCCACCCAGCGTCTTTTCGCCAAGAGCGGTTACAAGCCACAGGATGTGCAGGTGGTGGAACTGCACGATTGCTTCTCGGCCAACGAGCTGGTGACCTACGAGGCCCTTGGACTGTGTGGCGATGGCAAGGCCGGCGAGTTCATCGATGCCGGAGACAACACCTACGGTGGAAAGTTCGTCGTGAACCCCAGTGGTGGTCTGATCTCAAAGGGTCATCCTCTGGGAGCCACTGGTCTGGCGCAGTGTGCTGAGCTCTGCTGGCAGCTACGTGGTCTGGCTGAGAAGCGACAGGTTCCCAATGCCCAGTTGGCTTTGCAGCACAATCTGGGATTGGGAGGAGCTGTAGTGGTGGCCCTCTACCGTCTGGGCTTCCCCGCTGCCAACAACGTGATGCGCAATTTGACCGCTGCCGGCAAAGCTGCGACTAGCGAAGATGGCTTTAAGGTAGCTCCCTTGCTGAAAGTTCTGGAGCAGGCGATGCAGGAGGACAAGGACAATCTGATCGAGAAGGTGCGCGCCATTTACGGATTTAAGGTAAACAATGGACCCAATGGACAGACCGGATTTTGGGTCATTGATGCCAAACAGGGCAAGGGCAAGATCGTATTTAATGGAACACGTAAGCTTACATTAAGTCTATAAGGTTAAAAGATAATCATGGATTTTATTTTCTGATACAGAAAAGTGTGATGTGACCTTCATCATCAGCGACGAGGATGTATTCGAGCTGCTCACAGGAAAGTTGCCGCCGCAAAAGGCCTTCTTCCAGGGCAAAATCAAGATTCAGGGAAATATGGGCTTTGCTATGAAGCTAATGGACTTGCAGCGATCCGCTCAAGGAAGAATCGAGGAGCTGCGATCCAAGCTGTAAGCCTGTCGGTGTATCCTTATTCTGCATTCAATGTTGCAATATCTTGGTGGCTTTGGATCTGTTAAATCTAGTATACGTTTTTATACGATCTTTTATTATTTCTAGAGATTAAAATGTTTGATTATTGTAATCCGAAAAGTGGTTTTTCTTGCGGGGTTCTCATATTGGGATTTTGAAGTTTCATGATTTAAAACAATTTTATATATTTTTGTACGATCCGAATCTTTATTGTTTCTTCAACGTTTAAGCTGGCTTAATTCTACAGTTATATATGGTGTATATATATATATTGTAATTATCAATGTGTGTATTGTTCTACGCACTTTCAAAACACTTTTCAAAAAAGTTGTTAAGAAGGAAATTAAACTGGGACCTTGTCAAGCCTTATGGCTTTCAATTTATACTTTCAACGAGTACGAGTGTCTCTGGCCAATAAAGTGCGTGCCATTAAAAAATACACACTATAACAGTTAAATGTACCTGCCTGCATTTAAAAAAGTTCAATTGTTGTATCTAAAAAGTGCCTGCTGTGTGGTGGTGTAAATAAATTAAAAAACTACATTTCTATAAGTGTCTCGCATTTTGAGCTTATAAATCTACGTTTCGTTATCAAATATAGGGGTGTTTGTATGTGAGGTGTAGGACTACATATAAGCTTTTGGCTATATACAAAGGAAGATCTCTCAGCACTGGAGGAGATTGCACTCACTCACTTCAAAACTATTGTGGCTTAAAAGAGCTATATTAGATAACAAGAACTTACTATTTTCATAAAACTTGTATAATTACACTTATACAAAATATATAGACTGATTTAGCAAATATTTTCGCATCACCAAAAATAAAATTTAAATTTTTAAGCCACGGCAGTTTTGTAGTAGGTGAGCGATACATTTACGTATTAAAATCTCGTTCGGAGTTTAGAGATCTGAAAACGATTTAGCTCCTCGAAATCCGTTAAACGGAATCCCGAGTAGCTTCTAAATTTACAAAATATATAGTTTCACATAAAGTCCAAATAGGAGCCTCTACTTTCGCTCTCCTTCCATTTCCCCTTCCAATTTCAGAAGCTATTGTTGGAGTTGGCGTAGGAGAGCGAACTATTCGTTGTTGCCGAGGATGTCGATGATGAGGAGTTACTATTGGAGCCACTCCCCGCTGGCTTGTCCATGCTGGCCATGATGGATCCCAACAGATCAACAGGTCTCTTGCTCGTTCCTTTTGCTATAGAGATGCGATTTACTCCGGTGGAGCCTGCGATGATGATCTTGTGGGGGGGCAAATTAATGGTTTTGTAGGTGGGTTTCAGCGGGGAAGCTGTGGCTGCCATGGGCATGGTGTTGCCACTGCTGTTGGTGCTCGGTGGCGGCGGTGGTGGCGGTGGTGCAGTTGCCCGAGAAGGCGGTAATGGCGGCAAGGGTGGCAATACCACAGACATTCTGGTGAGAGGAGTCAAAGAGGCTGGGAGAACCACTTTTACAATTTGAGCGGGTGGCGGAGGCGGCGGAACAGCTACAATTGGTAGCGGTAATTGGTGTATAGATAGCGGTATGGGAGTTGGAGTGGGGGTGGGCGGTAAAGGAACAGTAGTTAGTGGTGGAGAAGCAGTAGTTTGTGGTGGAAAAGCAGTACTTATTGGTAAAGAGCCCGTAGTTGGCGTTGCAGGAGCAATAGCTGGGGCTGTTTCCATAGGAACCGGTATATCCGTTTCCACAATCTCCTCCGCACACACTTCGGTTACCTCTTCTTCGTGATCAACGACCAACTGAGGTGTGCTCTCTACAATGAGCTCGTTGCCCACATCCTCAACAGGATCTGGTGGTGGCGGAGGAGGTGGTGCTACTGCTGCTGTTGGTGGAGCTAAATTGTAGGTACTGATATCACTTTTGCTATCGGATACGATTTTCACTTGGATCTTGATCTCGGGCTCCTTTTGGTTTAGGCGATGGATGAAGGGCGTCTGAGGCACTAGTGGCGGTGGCAGTCCTGACAGGAAGGGTGGTGCAGCAGCTAAAGGGAGAGTGGGAACAGGGGGTGCCGGTTTGGCTATAGGTGTGAGTAAAGGTTTGAGTGTAGAAGCTGTAGGAGCAGCTGTAGGAACAACTACAGGAGCGGGAGAATTGGGGGCTGTGTCATTGCCCAAACGGGGAATTTTGGCAGGTGAAGGCTCATTTATGGAGCAGGTTTTGGCTGGCGTTGAATGCTTTTTGGGCGTTGGTTCGCTCCTCCGCTCCTTCTCCTTTTCTTTGCCCCTTTCTCTTTCTTTATCCCTATCTTTCTCCCTGAACTTTTCCTTCTCCTTATCCTTTTTGGGCTTCTCCTTCTCTTGAGTTGCGACAACCGCCGCTTTGGTCAGCTTGTATTTGTGCTCCAGTACCATTTTCCTCATATCTATCTTGGCGTCATCCTTGCTGGTCTTCTTTTTGGGCGTACTAGCCCCACTGGCGCTGCTCTGACTGCTACTGTTGCTGTTGCTTTCCTGGTTCTGGCTTGGCGAAGAACTTCCTGCAGATGGCTGTTCGTCAATACTGCTCTCGCTGGAACGCCGCTCCTTTCCATCGAGGTCAATAAGTTTTTTCTTTGTCCTGCCATCGTGCGCCCGTTTTAAGGGCGTCTTTTTACCACTTTCATCGTGGCTAATCGGGTTGGGCAGGATCGTTTGCTTCTCCTTATAATGCGGCGTTTCGGCCAACACAGGGTTGTTCTTCTCGTTAATCACCTCCTGTCCTGGATAATACTGTCGCAGGCGCAGGTGCCAAGCTGTAAAGTATAGAATATTATTTAGAGATTGTTTAAAGTCTCTTGACTAAGCAGTCCTGTTTTTTTTTTACCTATGCTCGTCACCGCCGTCACAGTGCGAAACTGGTGGATTATGTTGCGTGGTAGGAAGTATATGTCGTTATCGCACAGCTGGATGCGGGCATAGCGGACTCCCTCTCGGCGAAGCTGGTTCAGCTTGGCGTCCTCGATCCATTGCACGCACTGCGAGATCGGGGGCTCGTGCAGGTCCAGCTGCAGCATTTCCACCATTGTATTGAAGTCCTGGGCGGCAAAAGCGACCACGTCCTTTGTGATGCGATTTTGCGAATACGTTTGTCCACAGTGTACGGCTTTTAGTATGCCTGGGGAACGGAAAATAACAAAGGAACGATGATTAGTTGATTTCAGGGAAGCACCTTAATTGAAAAAGCTCACCAACTGCAGCAGTGGTGATGCGCTCATGACCATGGCCTACATGATCCGCATGCGCCTTGGTCCGGTCCTCAATCATCGTCTCGCGGGCCTCCGACAAGCGGGGAAGATATTGTAGGTTTCTCAGCTCATTGATACGAGTTCTAGGTAGGTAAAATATTGAATTAATTTATGTAAGGTAAGAGTATTACGAAAGCTAGCCACCTTTGCCTCTTTAGAGGAGTCTTGCTATTCAGCTCTGCAGTCGGCACCAACTGTTCTCCAGCGCGTATCCAGAGGATCGGGCCGTCGTTCGACTGACGAGGATCCGTTTGTAGTATGGAATTGCAAGCCCAAGGCATGGTCTAGGAAAAAAGAAATAATGTTAGACAAGAACCTTAAATTTATTATTTATTTATTATACCTTTCGCAGAAATGGGTTCATTTCAATACGACCCAGAAGATCAGGAAAATAGCCGCCCACCTCTTCATGCACTTTGCCAACTAAACTGATTTGATGCAGTGGTCCATATCGGAAGGTTCCTTGGCAATAATTGCGAACCACCTAAAGGAGAATGGTTTTGTTAGCAAAATTTAACATTTTTTTAGATGTATTTGCTGACCTGCTCATTGTATTGCGACATCGTGCAAGTTTCGATGTCCGAATTGCGTCCAAGAACACCCGCCTTCACGGTCAGCGTTGAGTAGTTCTCGGCCATGTGCTCGAGCAAATCGGGCAAATACCGCGCCGCATCGTGGACAATGCCCATCACATGGTGAGCGTAACCTTGTTCATCCTCGGCAAAGCAGACCTCAAAAAATTCATCTACCAGTTCCTCCATTTCGTCCGTTGACAATGCATCGATTTCATGCTGATACAGGTGAACAATGGAGGCTCCTCCGTTCGGATACTGTTCCACCTGGAAATAGCAGCCGTACTTAAGGTTCTCTAAGCCAGCTGGTGGTTTCCGGTTAGGCCTTGGCGACAGGCTCTGAACTGTTTGCCACGGTCCAGCTTCAGGTGCATGTTGCAAGCACTGAACCCCAACGCTCGTTCGACGTATTTTAGAGCGTTTATAGCACTTGGAGCAGTCCCGAGATGACGATGAAGAATGGCGGGAAGATGACGATGAGGAACTCTTGTGATGGTTACTGGAGGATGAAGACGACGATGATGTGTAGGGCTTGCGGTTGCTGCTGCTCTGACTGGAGGAATGATTGCTGGTGGAGGAGTTTGAACCGGAACTTGTTTTCGGTGCCGGTGATGGCATTAGATTCGAATTAGAGCTCTTGTCCCCGAAGTTTAGCTGTCTGGTAACCTCCTCGCGGGTTTTGCCTGCCGCGTCGCCATTCACTAATGTTTTGACTGGCTCCACCGTCGATTCCTTTTTGATTTCTGCTTCAGTTTTGATGTGGTTACTAAGTACTGATGATGGTTCTATTTCCGCTCCTATTTTCGTTTCTACTGGTTCTTTTTTGATGCCCTCCTCCACTTTAATTTGCTGCTCTAGGGCAGCAGCCACCGCCTGTGGCAAAACCTGATCCGCCGCGGGATCCTTTGACTTGGAGGAGCTGTTCTGGCTGCTCCGGCTGCTGTCGGAGCTCCGTCGACGGTGGGAGTGCGAGGAGGAACTGGATGATGAGGAGGGAATCTGCAAAGTGGATGGAAACAAGTTTTTAATTTTGTACATTGATGGACAGCTGTGCAAACTTTAACTGGCATCAAAGATTTGTTTAGCTCAATGTAAACGACTGCAGTAAGAATATACAATAAACATGTTCCGCAATTGAGGTCTCTTACAATGAAAAGTCTCTGGGTTTATTTTAGATCTTGTCTCTTGCTGTCAGTGTTTTCTTGAAAATGAAATAGTGCAAAACTATCTTGATACTTAAAGGTTCCATTGAAAGTTGAGTTTTTAAAAAACTTTGAGAAAAATTTTTTTGTGAAAAAATACATAAAATTACGTTACAAATTCGATTATTTGGGAATGCCATAGATATGGAAATACGATAGATCACAGAAGAAATTGATTTTAAACTTTTTTAAATGCATCACAATAGCTTTTAGATGACAGAAGCAGTTTCGAAAGAAAAACCATACATTTTAGAGGTCAAAAATTACGATATTACGTGGAACTAATATTAATATGAAACTACATTTATCAATCAGATAAAAAAGGTTTGTAACTTATGAATGATGTATTCTGGGTTTATGTGTATTCTGACCGTTGCAGTTTGCTTTATGGATTTCCCATGTCTCACCTTCTCCCGATCGCGCTCCCTCTCCCTTTCTCTGTCCCTATCGCTGCGGTGATACTTCTTTTCCTTGCTGCGCGATGAACTGGACTTGTAGTCGCTCTCCTTGGAGGTTTTGGAGCTGCTATCGCGGTTCCTGTCGCGCTCTCGTTCCCGCTCCCTTTCCTTGTCCCGATCCTTGCTCCTACTGTTGTTGTAACTGCTGCTGCTGCGTCGATTCTTATCGTCATCCCGCTCCTTATCTTTCTTCTTCTGTTTTTTGTGATTGCGCTCATCTGTGGGTGGTGGGGTGTAAATCACATTAGTTGGCATTGGATTTGTTTTCTGCGAATTTCGCTTTACTTTACCTGTCTTCTCGTCTGTGTTTGTGGCTGTTATTGTTGTCTCTGCCAAGGCATTTGTTGTCGTTGGTGTTGCTACCGCCGCTGCAGTGGTTGTTTTTGTTACTACAACTACTGTTGCTTCTTCTTCATTTTCCGCTGCTGGCTTTGTTATTGCTTTTGTTGTTGTGTTATTTGCATTCCCATCGCCTGACTGCATTTGTTGCTTTTGTGTGGGTATTGTGTTGCTGTTTGTAGTTGGTTGTGTATTTATTGCTGCTGCTTCTTTTGCGCCTGTAGTTGTTGGACTGACATTTCCGCGGGCATTTGCGTTGTTGTTTTCCACCGCCGCCTCGTTGTTTACCCATTTTTGAGGCGTTTCCCGGTGCTTGGGCTCTTCGCCCGTTTCTTCCAGTGTAGTTCCGTCCAACTTTTCTTCATTTTCCACCTGCTCCGGGGATTTCTTGGCCAAATCCTTACCCCCGTTGGCCAATTCTACGATATTTTCGCCACCTCGAGTGTTCTCCATGTGTGTGTGTGTATGTGTGTAGTGGCACACACACGCGTGTGTGTGTTGCTCTGCGCCTGTATTGAATATCGATCAGTCGGCCGTCTACGTGACGCCTCTCAGCTATTCGTGCCTTTTATCTTACGCTCCGTTCGCAATTCACCCGCACACTCCGCAGCGGTGCTTTTCATTCGGCTGGCAGAATTTCCGCAGCGGCGTTTTCAGCAATTCGCGAATTCGACTTTTTTTTTGTTCTAGAAGCCGTCGCGCTAGAGCTGGAACAAAAGTCAATGTTTATGTGATATATCGATGTTGCCAGCAATCGGGCGTTATCGATGTTTTATTTGCAACCATCGATTTTTTTGTTTTTGAGCTGTCAAAGTACAAAATGTAAATAAATTTACGATATATTTTCTTTAAAACAAATACTTATATCTACTTGGGACGATTTTTTTAATTGACAAAATGGCGGGAAAGCTTAAATGATAATTTTGTAAAAACACACATTGTTCATTGTCGAAAACGTAATACAATTTAAAATCAAAATTTGGGAGTATGTGGAACATTTTACGTACGGCTTATAGAAGCTTTGTCACGACTTTAACCATACCTTTAAAATAATATTACATTAGTGGTTCCTATAAGGTTAATATTTTTTTACAAAATATAAGAACAAAAAATAAAGGACAGATTTTTTTTAAAGTTTTCTTAATGTTTCCTTTGCTCTTTTTCGGCTGCCTCTCGCTTATAAACCTCGCTGACCAACTTCGGGACCTTTTCCAGATACTCCATGAGGTGCATTTCCTCCTTCAGAGTGTTTAGATACATGCGTTGAATTTTTCTTATCATCGGATCAATAACTTTGGCGCTAACTATATCATCGGCACTGACACTGAAGTCCGCGACTTGAAGGTCATCTGGATCTGCGATATTTAACTGGGGCTCTACGACAACGGCAACCACTTCCTCGGACTGTAAATCGGGATTAGGAATTCGGCTTTTTCTCGATTTAGCATTATTTTTGCCACCGGACAATGCATCCCCCCTTTTATCCTTCACTTCGAGCGCGAATTCATCCAATTCCGCCTGCATTTCTATTTGCGATCGAACTGCTGCTCTGAGATCGTCGCCACTTTTTGCACTGATCACAGTATTTTGGGATGGTTTAGATTTGGATTCCTTTGAGGTGGATTCGTCGCTGGAAAAGGGGAACTTCCGTTGAAACCTATCGCCCACCGCCTGGCAATGAGCCTGAACCGCATCAAGGTAGTTATGGGATTCCTTCTTATGATGTTGGTGGCTACATCGGGTTGCTTGTTTTTTCTCACCAACCTCCCCGTCCCCGTGCTCACTTATACTAGAAGGAGGGCCTCCAAAAGTCAAGTTCTTGTAGAGTAGGCAATCTCCCCCACCTTTTTCATTTGCCGGATCCCGATTTCGAGTAGTATGAGTAAAAGGGAGTTTGCAATTACGTGGTTTGGGTGAGTATCTAGGACTGGGCTCGTTCACAATCCTCGGATTCGACCGCTGGTGAGGATTCAACTGTTATGGTTTGAAAACCTATTAAATAAGACACAACAAATATTTTTACCTGATGTTGCTGTGGCTGTTGACAGTCATTATGGCAATGCTTTCTAGATAAGGGATCTGGAGTTCGATAAAGTCTGTGTCCATGCGAGCAACGATGATCTTGACACTGGCATTTTATATGATCACGATAGTTATCCGGTCTCGCCTGATGCAGAGGGCTATTCCTTTCGTAACGCGATCGGCTTTCGACATCCTGATGTCCACGCACCCCTTGATCCTTGTTTTCGTTAAGAGGCTGCTTAAATTGTAAAAAGTGCAAAGATCGGCAATTATTTTAGAAACTCACAGATGGATTCTTCGACCCATAGAAATGGCCTCGAAGCTCATTTCGATATTTATTGCTCTTATCCATCGATCAAGCGTCGAATCACTTAATTAGAGTTTACAAAAGTAAGTAATGTTTTCAATTGACAAATATATCCAAGAGTACTAGAATAAAAACTATGTAGGGAAGGCTAGCTGTTTTTTTCAGTAAATTTTATTAAATGGTATAATGGTTTTAAGAATACATTTTTTTGTAATTAATATGGATGTTGGATAAATAGTTTTTATATTCTAAACATTATGCAAATAAATTCCCTTTTCCCGAAAAAAGATGGAGGCGATTCTTGTTTGTTAGACAGTGATTGTTTCCATATATAGATCGAAGGACCTCGTGATGATAGTGTGATCCGGTGCCAGATGAGTATCCGCCATTACGGCCAATCTATATTTGTCACCAAAACGATGTAGATTTAGAGAAAGGCAGGTCTTCGATTGAGGAGGTCGGAACAGAAGGACGTCCTGAACCTTCTGACCCCAGGCCGATTGAAATTCATCCGTTGCTCCATAAATTTCAGTGATTGTGATGGGGAAGTTGTACGAGAAAAAGTTTATGAAGATTTTTGTGATAACATGAGGAAAAAGTGATGTGAGAAGGCTGAATTTTGTCTGACCAATCGAAGCTAAATATATCATTATCTGTTGCTTTCTGATTCTTTCAACAATATGATGAAGTTCTTTAACATGATTTGCATCCGGTTTTCTTAAGGGCAATTGCAGAAACACTACGCCACCAATATTTTCCGATTTATCTCCACTGCGATCTGTAAAGTAACCTTTATCTATGGTCCTGCATGTGGTATTCAAGAAATTGGGCACTTTCGTATCTTCCGAGAATGTATCAAAGTAATCGTGAACGGCGCCTGCTAAGCAAGTTAAACTAAAGTCGGATTCTCTGAGATCATCACTGAATTTACCCTGATTGCGGGTCCGAAGCTGGGCACCATTTAATGAACGGCCAAAGGAGACAATTTTCCTGCCTGCATATGATTTTTTATGGAGTATATTTAACTCCTGTGTGGGCTGCTCGAAAAGTACTTCGTAAATATTTCTTGGAGCCTGAAAGAGCTCCCAGAGAATTTTGAAAAACTCTAATTGAGCATAAAGTAAGAGGGGTACATATAAATGAAGTCTAGCGCAATAGGTGGAAGTATAGGAAGTTTGTCCCTTTATTAAGACATCACCGAAAGCCAAAAACTCACAGTAAATGTGATAGGGCAAAAGCAAAACATGATTTAGATTTAAGCGCCAAAGAAAACGGGTCCAAACCTTGGCCAAATTAGTAGGTTGCAAGCTGTTATATATGGCAGTTCTGGCCACCGACCAAGTAAGATTTTTTTGCTCTAATTCCCTATTTAATAGCATTCGTATAGTTTGAAATCGACCCACTTCATTTCGGTAACTAATTGATCGCTTTTTAAGTTTTTTAAGCATTGAACGACTCCTTATATAGCCCAAAATCACATTGACCAGGATAATTACTACCAAAGAAGCCAACTGACTGAGGTTTCTAATTTGAATACTAGACGAAGCCCCGTCGGGAGTTTCGAGGGATTCGAATTCGTAGATGAATTTCTGCCAGCGGCAGATGACAAGATGCATTATATGACTTATCAGCCTGCTGATGTGTTCGGGTTTTCTTACAAAGTGAGACAGTTGTTGATTCGAACTCTGACTCAATCCATCGGACATGGTCATCAGGGTTTTCTTATGTGTGTCCTGAAGTAGAAGCATCTCACTCACATGCAGATCCTCCTCTTCGGCAATTATCAAGTGATGCAATTTGATGAGGATATAATAGGGTTGAGTGTTATCTGAGTTTGGAATTACAATCACTTGCCACTGGGGAAGATCTGATGGTATATACTTGGTGGCCAGTTCGCTGACATAATCCTGAATATTCGATTCGGTGACTGGACGTCCTCGGTATTTGTGTGTACTCAGCAGAACGTGGTTGTTAATGTTGAAGCCACTTTGGTAAAATAAAAAATGGAGAATTTTAAATCTTAGTTTTAAAGCTGAAAAATTAGGTAGTAATGATATACATGATTTGATCGCTTACCTGCTATCATTTACCCACGCATAATGTCCCCAACAAGGAACGAGTTTTTGACGAAGCTTGGGAAACCTTAGCATTCCAGTTTTATCCCTCACATCAGTCAGATACTGGGCATAGGACATCTTGATCCTCTCGAAGTCACAGTTTCCCTCCACTTGGAGAAGAAAGTGAAATACGCCCGCATTCTTCGGCGTGTCAATTAAAGTCCGGATCTTCTTGGACTTTGAGATGGTAAGGTTCGGGTACTTGATGCTCAGCACATAGTTAGATAGTTCGTTGCCAAAATGGGCGCCTGAAAACATGGATAGGAGTTTTCGATTTTTAAATTTAACAGCTGATGAATCGATTTCAATTGTGAGTACCTCAAGTGGAGCATTTAAATTTCGGGATTAAAATCGCACCAATAAATAAAGCAATTAAAGAAATAATAACAAAATATTTTCAAAGTGTCTTTACCCAATATTAAATACCCTATAATTGTTATAAAATAACGTATATAAACGTTTTATTAAATGAATACCCTACTAATACGTTATTTGTCATTATATTATTGTTGTATATAATTATATTATATGGTTGAGATATAGCAATATTAATTGAATTACATATTTTGGGGGCCCCGAAATTGCTGCTTCTAGGCTGATTTATTTAACGACAAATCTACCCTATAGGAACATGCCTTCATCCCAAGCGATTACCGGGTATCAAGCACGAAGACTGGGCTTATCAATGGCAAAATTTTTATGAGTAATTCAGTTGGTCAAGGTTCACTTGGCCGCTTGTCTGGGTTCCGCAAAGGTGCAACAGGTAATCTGTATTATTTATAAACAAAAAGCTTATCTACAGCACTTTCTTTGCGACTCTCTCACTGTCTCTCTCAGCCTCCTTTATCTCTTGGGTTCCCATTAATGGACGATCCTTTGGCTGAGTGAGAATGGGTTAATCAACCCATGGATCGTTTATTTATATAGCCGGCCCCTTTTGAAGTTCTTGATTTATGTGGCTTATCAGTGAGGCAGCGCGTGTCGCGGATCGGCGATCATCGATCACTGCTGGGGATATGTCGAACACTTACAAAGGAACGATAACAGCAATAGAGGAATCAACATCAAAGCAATCACAAAGCAGAGCAGGGTCTTCAGAAGTGATTTTACCTCCTGCCAGAAACTAGGGAATACAAACGTAGTATTAACCATACTTACATATTTTTGGTACTCATTAAGAGTTTTCTTAAATTTACCTTTCCATTTTGTCTGATTCCTAGAAAATTACTATAAGAAAATGATTTTAGCTATATTTAGTATAGCTGCACTATATAGTATGTACACCTCCGATTCTTTGCTCTGTCTTGAATTTTTTCAGAAGCTCACACGTTCGTTTCTTGCAAAGTTTTTAGCACAACTGATCATAATAGACGGAGATTCGTGTGGGCTTCGTTTTATTGAGCGGCTTATCAGTAAATCGAAGGCAGTCGCTCTTAAAGAGCACTGCAATAAAAAAATGATACGAAATTATCAAAATAGAATATTTGATTTCCATTGTTTTATTTCTTAAACAAAACGATGGTAAAACATTAAGTTAAAACTAAAGCATTAAATAATAAAGCCCAAGTAAATATTTTAAAAAATTTACATGTACTTTTTAATATATATTTAACAGTTATTAAATTAAAAAAAATTAAATATCACAACTTTAATTTAAGACATTATACATAAGTATAAAAAATGTTTTTTATTCGGCATCTAATGTATAAATGGAACAATTTTTCCCGTGCATCCTCTCAATTTATTTGTGGGTATTGGTATTAGTATTTTTGAGCTAGTTCCGAGAACGTTTGACGCCTCTGCAAAGGATGTGCACGCAGTGTTTCTCTCTCTCTCTCTCTCTCTCTCTGGCTCACTTTCTCTGCTCTCAACTTTCTCTTTGGACTTTGGGATTCAGTCGTTTGCTGGCTTTCAACGCTGTCGGTTCGTCGGCTTTTCCGGAAATTCCCTGCGCTTATTTCTGTCTTGGTGACGCGTTGTTTCGACGTCCGTTCTGCTGCTTTGCATTCGAAAACCCCCCGACCAGCCACGCCCCCCTCCCAACCGCCCCAATAATATCTCCGACGTGCGACTGTGTGAGTGTTTTAGCAAATGTTGAAAGGCAGTAGAAACGGCAGTAAAGGCAGCATGGCCCAAATGGTAGGGCGAGGGGCGCGGTGGTTGGCAAATGAAAAGCCCGTGGAAAGCCGTGCATACTGAGTAATGATTTTCGTGTGTGAAAATGAAAATTGTTTTGCTGCGCGTGTTAAATAAAAACACAAAAATAAATAGCATCAAAAAATAAGTGTGTAAAAAAAGTGCAAAATGTTAAAGGAAAACTAAAACCAAAAATCAAAAAGAAAAATAAAACCAGGAAATCTCAAATAAAATGCCAGCTTCCCGTTCCATACACACACAGTCTAAGGGAAAACTGAAACCTGATTTTAGCCCATGAATGAACTGACATTAGGTTGGGCAGAAGAGGAAGAAACATCATCACCACCCCCACCACCCATTCACACAAACACCATCACACACACATGTGCACACACCAAAAGAGGCAATTTTCAAAAGATTTTTGCTGGCCAAAAAAAAGAAACGTGCCGCGCATTTGGAGGAAAAAAATATATAGAAATACATATAGCTGGGAAATAAGAAGGTGGGTCAAGTGTAAATTTATTTAACTAGTTGTATACACGAATATAGCACCCCCCCTGCTCCAGACCCCCGAATTATCCGACCAACTCCTACACAAAAATTGTAGCATGCTTTCCAGCGTTTGCCCTTCGCTTGCCCAAAAAATATATCTCTGGTTGAGAGTGTGTGCGTGAGATATAGTTGCCTCCTTCCTGTTGTTGCTGCCGCTGCTGGTTGTACATAAAAATAAATTATGGGCATGCCCCTAAAAATAGCAGCAGGAATTACAAGGAGCAAGGATCGCTCGGCTCCTGCAGCAGCATAAATCATTATGTAGCCAAATGTCAATATAACACTTTGAGCCACATACACACACACTCATAGAAAAAGGATACTATGAGAGCAGGCTAGCCAAGGGTGTGTGTGTGCCATTTTGTTTGTGTTGGTGCAAAGTTCACCATATGAATTGGTTCAATTGAACCAAGTTCACTGCTAAATAAAAAAACAATAAAAAAACATTTTATGTTAAAAAGTTAAAAAACTTAGAATCAGATAGGTCTTTAGTGTTTTTTTAGACGTTCTTCGTCTTAAAGTAGTTGCCTTCAATGCTAATTTGTATATTTGTAGCACCGCAATATTCTATTAAAAATGTATTCTTGCTACCAACCACCTTATATATAATATAATATACTTATCTTCATTAAGAATCTGTTTACGCTCATTGCTTGCAAAGCATATAATTTACCATATAATTGATACTTAATTACCGAAGTACTTAACACTTAAATTTATGAATACCTCTAATAAGAGGTACTTAATCTAAATGTGGCATAAATATCCAGGACCTATAATTAACCGTTTCCAATTATTATTTGATTAGTTCAATGAACTTGTAAGTCAGAAATTACCTACAAACGATTTACGCCGGTATTACATTTCCTAAATCTTTGATGACCTATTTTAATATATTGTTTCCTATATTTAAAAAAAAAAGAACGGTTACATATTTTAAAAGTTTACAGTAGGAAATATTTTTGTAAATAAGTTGAACTTTGGTAAATATATTCTTATGTAAAAATTATCAAGCGTCGTTAATAAATCAACTGGTAATTTAAAAAATTTAAAACTGAAATCTTTTTTAGTCTTGAATATTTTGAACCTCGCACTTTCGCACTACACACACACACACTGATACACAGGAAGTGACAGCTAGGAAAATCCAAAGAGAAGAAGAGGAGTTGAACGAGGAAGAGGAAGCAGATAGGAAACTTTGTCTGTGAAAAATTCAGTCTGCAGCTATTTCACTTCCTTGAAATCCTTCGGCAGCCACAACAATAACTGTGGTGGCTCTCTCGCTTTTCCTCTCTCTGTCTATTTTTCCATTTTAATACTCTCCCTTTTTTCCTCTCCACGCAGGCGCTTTTCAGCAGCCTCAACTCGTTCTTTCTATTTTTTCCTGTGTTTTTGGCTTGGCTCATTTGTTTATTTTTAGTTTGCTGTCATAGAGCCTCATTTTATCCCACCCACACATGTGGATTCTCTGTGTGCGTATGTGGATGCGATTAAATGGCCGTTAGACGCTTTCAGCCTTATTAATATGCCGAGATATTTGCAAAAGTTCTCAGTTGGCAAAGTCTTCTAATGCTGTTCCCTTTTCTAGTTTGCCCCCTTGGCTTTTCCCTTCTGCAGCAAATTTTTTAAAAATGAAACTGGTTCAAGGTCGTTTCTGCCACGAAACGAGGTTGTTGCACCGCCACCACCCGATTACTACCAAATGGGAGATGGGGCTTAGGGATAATTAAATAAAGTCGAGCTTCCAAATGTGACCTAATAAAAATGATAACTAATTATTTTATATATACATACCTAAAAAGATTTTTTTACGAGATTATTTTTACTTATTTCGAATATGCAAACTATCACTTATTTAGTAAATCTAAGTAGTCAATTAAAATTCTTAACCAAAGTACTGTCAAGGCTTTATTATTAATAATAATAATAATTAATAATACCCAAATTAAATATATATTTTTATTGTGTAAACACTTTTATAACTTATGATTGCAATTCAAATCACTATAAAGCAATGATACATATGAATGTTTCATAGTCTAAGTACCTATTGATGAAAACTGTAGTTTTTAAAGTTGGTTTAAATATAGCGAGTTGATTTGGAAATGTTCGACTTAATGAATTAAGACTGTAGTTGATAGCTAGCTGTCGAGTCGGTCAGCATTTGGGGTCAGTTCACATTTAATAGCTGTGTTTACGCAGCGGGGAGAAGCGAAAAAAGAAAATCCCAACAAAAGTCAAAGCGAGGGGGAATGGAGAGGTAGAAACTAGGGGTGAAAGCTCAATACAGGGGCTGGGGTTACGAGACCCCTCGCGTGCTGCAACGTCCATGAAATGACGGGGCCTTCTTACCTTTTTTATGGAGCTCACGTGTCAGGGGACGCCCCGAAAAGCCCAGGTAAAAATGGTTTAAGTGACGAAGAGGGGGGCGGCAGAGGTGTTCCTTTCAGGAATCGCATAAACACATGATATGCTCAACAGACACACACACACACACAATATATATAAGCGCTCTGAGGCCCAGATGGCTAAGTATCCCTGTAGGAGCTTACGTAATCCCGAAACGTGAGCCTTAATCACTTTCTGCTTAAGTTTCGTGGATAAAGGGGCAAGCCGGAGGCAAAACTGAAGTGGAGTTTATGCAAGAGTTTCGCCTAAGAGGATCATGAGTTGCCACTAAAAAGGAAATCCATTTTCCAGGCACCTTATAATTGAAATTTAAGCTGGGTGAAGACATGATTTTCCATTAATTGAATTAAAAGTTTTGTTAAAAGCAGTTATTTTAAAGTAACGATTATTGTTTGAATTAACATCACCTTTAAGGCGAATACATTTTAATGTAAATAAAATTGATGGAAACATGTACTTTTTTAAATAATTACAAAAGACTTGTCAATACGTTTTGAATTATATTTACTAGGGAATTTTTTATGATTAACAAAATAGTAACTATATATTTTTGATTCGTTGTATTTATGGTAAACTTAAATTAAACTTAAATTATGTAAAACTTAAATTAAAAGTAACTTGAAAACACTAGAAATTTGGAGATTTTCTATTTTTAACTTAATAGAAAGAGGAAATTCAGATGTAACGTCCACTTCCTTTCACTTATTCGCATTTGGAATTCAGAACACTCCCGCCCGGCAAACATTTCATTTCTCCTGTGATTTGGCGTGCCATTACCGTTAGTCACGTGCTCGCACCACTGAACCACCTCGCCACCCAAGGCCACCCACAACTCCCTGTTCTTTTCCCATTCGATATTGAAATCCCTGGAGTAAGGACCCGCATTCGGGACTCGTTGTCCTTTTTATGTGTGGCATGGCAGCCAGGCGCTGCCTTAATTATCCTGGCATTGGTAATTATGCGACACAAAACAGAAGTGGGGACATACATTAAACAGCAGTTTAAAGAGGCAGTGAAAGGGAATAGGAAGAAAATAGGGAGGATCCTGTAGGCCACACGAGAAAAAATACAAATAAATGCCAAATATTTTTAATACGTAAAAAATATATATACAGATTTTGATTATTGTAACAACCAGTTTGTAATTGAGCAAACAATAAACAAATACATTTATAAATAAAGTTCTGGTTACGATCACATTCGGCTTTGTTAAAGATAACAAGTAAATAAACAAATAACAATTTAACATGAAAATAAGAAAAATCGTTAAAATAATACATATATGATATGGGCTAAAAAGTGAATGGTATTTTTTCTTACACAAAATGGTTCCTAAGCTGAGAGACTGTAGTCCTTTTTTTTATATTTGTAGTGTTTTCCAGAACTAATACGTACACATTTTTTTAGTGTGCTTAAAAATACTTGAAAGTATGCTGCATTTTAATTGAAAATAGCCGTATAGTGTCGCGAACCGGAAACGGAAGTCACGAGGCGACAGGTGCCAGGCACCTTTCTACTTCTTCTACCCCTTTCTCCATTTTTTTAGGCTCTTTCCCCTGATGAAATATTCATTTGTAATCGATAATTCCGCAAAAGAGCAAACATAGAGAAACATGCGGCGGCATAATAAGTAGGAAAAGGTCCCAGTTTTTCATTTCCCCCTCGGTTTTCCCCTGCACTTTCCAGCCGCATTGAATGCCGCCACGAATCGAGGACGATAGTCAACTTGTCTGCATTCAGCAACAAAAACAAAAAATACAGCCAAAAAAAAATATGGCAAAAATTCCAATAATTTTAGCTAAAAAGTATACGCAGCTTGGAGTGTCCGACATTCGCCCTATGCCACGCTTTACTGTTACAGCTCACTCGACCGATAAGTTTTTCTGAAAGATATATATTCAATACATACAAACCTATGTAGGAAAACTTTCGTCTGATTTAATTGAAATTAAAATTTATAAATAGTTTTTGCACATGAAATAACAATAAATCTTTATTAAAATGTGTTTTTTTTCTAGCTTAAATTCTCGAAACAGTTCAATTGAAACAATTCAACTTTATTTCACTTTATTTCTAGCCGCAACCAGAACGGTTTTTTTTGGATTTAACCGCATTTCAACTGCTCTCATAGCATTGACAAATCATTATGGTAATCTATATTAAAACCAAATTGCCATCCAACGAGCCCAACGGCCCTCAGTCGACCGAACCCCATTAAAAATTCTATTAAAAGTTATTTACGGCAACTTTGGTCCATTGAATGCGACAAAACTTGCACACGGCCTGCGAGCGTGTGTGTTTGTATTTGGGGAGGCACTCAACTCAAACAAAAAGCAACAAGAACCCAAAAGCATTGTCTATGCACGTTCATAAATAAGAAATGCAGCCGAGCCAACGTCGAGTGTCCAACCCTTTCAGACCACCACTTTCATAATGCCCCCTACTCTGTGCCCCCCAAGCCTGAACGCCAATTCCAATCCCCTTCATTGACAATAAATTTGCATACCCAGCACTTGCACTTCCTGCAAACGGTGACTCAAACGGGGGACTTAAGTCGGAGCCCAACAGGAAGCCAAGTCAGTTTACATGCAGATCAGCATAATTGATTTCAAATTGAGCACTGACAAAAAATGGTAATTTATACCATAACTAAGAAGCTTGCGAACTCAACCATCAAAAAAGATACAAAAGGTGAAGCTTTTTTCCTATTTAGAATATGTTGTTAATAAAACAAGATATTTATATCGAATTGTAGTATTTATGAATTATCTGATATTTGCAAGAAGATGTTTGTAACTTTAATTAAACACACTTTTGAGAGATACAGATTTTTAAATCTGTTTAACAGTAGCAACCAATGACAATTATTTAAAACCAAAATTTAATCAGTTTAAATACATTAATAACTGCAACGAGAACGTTTTTACTATCTGAAATTAAATTAAATGGTTTAATAAATTTATTAATTGAATTTGAAAGATTATTCCTTAAAGCATTATTTGTTATAATTTGTTTCATTATGTGAGTAAAGTGAAAGGGGATGACAGGCAAAGAATTGAGGAAGCATTTTATCAAAATATAACGCATATCCCGGGATTTATAAGTTTTAATAAATATTAATACATGGGCATCCAGATACAATAAATGGGTTACAAAATTTAAGATCTTTAGAAGGTCAACTTCAACTCAAACAAAATTAGTTTAGATTAAAAATACTTCTATTTGAAGTTAAATAGCAAGAGATTGTTAAATTTACTATTCGTATTTTAATTTGTTTCTGTGTGTGAAATGTGGCGTAAGAACGAGAAAGCCCCTCTTTTCTGCAGGTGAAGAGTTTAATGCCTGGCAATCGATGAGCAAATTGGATAAGATAGGGCATGTCCTTTGCGAGAGATGTGCCGACAAGGACTCTCATTAGGCACTCGAGCAGCATCGGGAGATTATATGCAGCGATAATAGACAGAGATAAGGGCGTTGATGGGGGCAGGGACTGGAAACCCAGACCAGAGGCTGAGGACATTCGGGCACCAAAACTAGAGCAAGGACAACACGAACAGCAGCACCAACAAAAACTTCACAAAAACTATAAGGAGAGAGAGACAGAGAGAGAGAGAGGGAGAGGGAAGGATATTTGGCCAGAAAGAGAGAGAACAAATTGTTACATTGCCTGTCCTGAGAGGGAAATGCCAACATACAGATGTATGTGCCGTTCTGACGCCCCTTTCCCATTCTCCGCTCTTCCTGTCCAGTTGCATTTCTCATGTCCTGCTGTTCGGAGTCCTTGTGCTGCTGCTAAAACAACAAGGAAAGCAAGCAGTGGGGAAAAGCAGCAGGACAACTGACAACAAGGAGCATAAGCTACCTTCAGCTGTGTCCTGATTATGACAGCTCAAGGAAAATGCGGCCGGACAGCTGAAAATTGTTGAAATTCTCCACGGAGTTGGGCTTTCATGTACCTCACACACTTACACATTCCACATGTCTGTGTTAATTGCCAGAGTATTAGTCTGTGTGTTTGTGTGAGTGACATAAAAAAATGCTCGACAGAATTTCATTGCATACACGCAAGGGCAAAGGGAAAAGCAGGGTATCGATGGGGAAAATCGAGTTGGGAAACTGGGAAAGGAAAGGGAAGCAAAACGGGGAAAAGAGATAAGGGGCACACAAAAACCAATTCGATTTAATTTCCAGTTGGCAGCCACATCATCTGGGAGGTGCGCTATCGAAGCCTAGCATCAGACGCAATTAAAAATAATAAATGAAACAATGTGGCTAAAGCCACCAGTCAAGGTACTCTAATGGGAATTTATATGATTAACGAGTGAGGGAAAATAGTTTCAGCGGATTGTAGTGAATGATGTTAAAGCTTATGTGATTTAACAGGAAGTATAAATAATATTAAAAAGGCGCTAACTATATTATTTTTTCTAACTGACATTTTACATATTTATTCAATTTTGAAATTTAATTTATAGAAAACTTGTATTGTTTTTGGTAATGTTATTTTTGTATTAAAAAATACGTGTTTCTTATCGAAATTCCCATTCTATTGGTGTGCTAAACCGTTTATTTCATTTCAAGTGCAGAAACGTTTCTATTCATTACAGTCATCTTTGTGACTTTCATATCACACCATAAGGTTACCCTTTCGCTTCGCTTGAACTCCTCGTTTCTTTATTTTCCCATAAACAAATTTTCTCGCATCCCGCAGCTCGGGAAAGCGTATTCAGATTGGCAGCACCCTGGGGTATTTCCCCGCGGCGCGTTTTCACTGCGGACCACATGGCGTATGAGTGACAGCCAGGCCGCGGCGACGTCAAAGTCGTCGACGAATCATATCAAATTACCGTTATGGTTATGCACAGGCGGCGGAAATAGAGGGGGCGGAGGGGCCAGGACATCTAATGAGCGTCGGGGGCAAGCCGCTTGGCAGTTATCAATTTCTATAGCATAGCAAATGGGAGCAGAGCGTTCTTTTCTTCCACGAATGTATCCTTTTAAAAATAAAAGGAAAATTTTACAAAAAATACATATAACAAATATCTTCTATTTAGAAATATGATATGAACACTTCAACATGGTTATGGTTTTGGCATATGTTTTATATTTTTCTGCGTTCAATTCCTGAAGTAGTATGACTTAGCAATATCATTTTCTTATTTTGAGGGATGAAAATAAGTATTGTTAGAAATATTAACAGCTATTTAAACAATATTTCTATATAACTAAATAATGTTTTGAGCTTCTTTTAATAACACCTATTTATCATAATATTTTTGTCTCTGCAGCTACTAAGATAATTAAGAGAGAAAAAGAGACAGCGAGGGAGGAGAGAAAGAGACCAAAATACCCGGAGAGAGAGAGAGAGACAGAGGACGTGGGCGCGCAGTTTTTGACAGTTGAGGGGCAACCATCGGTGATGTGGGACACATCCCGCCACGGGCAATGCAACAACCCCAACGTTATATACCGTCTGTATCTGATCTATATGGCACGGACGAGATAGAACTGCTGCTGGACGAGATTCGGGAGCTGGAGATTGAGCCGGTCTGCTGTCAACTGGACGATGAGCAGGACTTTGAGATAGCTGGCAGCAGGGCCGGCGAGCTCTCCCACTCGCACTCGCACTCGCTGTCCTTGGAATCCCCCCTCGGAACCTGCACCTCCTGGGACTCCCATGCCAACTACAAGCAGAGGGGCGGGCACACCCCCCTGAGACCGTGGGGCGTCGCCCTCCACTGTGATCCGCAACACTTGAAATCGCCTACAGGGATTGTGCGCATACTATTGGTGGTAAGCTCGAGGATGGCTAAAATTTAAGGGTTTCAATGTATATCACAGATCAAACATGGAATTTAAATTTATTGGGTAGAAGAATCATATTCTAGAAAAACACTGATCGAATAGAATCTGAAGAGTACAAAAAGCAAAGCAATGAAGAAAAAAAAGCTAACTAAAATAAAGATCGGGAAATCATGTATTCTGTATCCAGTTTTAAATTGTCTAGATACAATTTAAGACTTTTTGAAACCCTTTAAGTATATTTTTAATTAACATTTTGTTTTTATTTACCAGTTATCCTCGGCTGCCTGTCTAGCCTGCGAATGTTCCGCGGGGACCGTACAGGTGGGCCTCTTTCTACTGCCACTCATCGGACGCCTGAGGCTAATGGTCTTCTGTGCGCTATTTTCGCTACTCATCACATGTCTCATGCTCTTTCTGGATATATCGCATATAGCTCTCATGTTCCCATTCAACTGGACTAAAGTGGTGAGTTAAAATAGATTAAAACTATAAGACATATTAATATACATTTAAATTTCCTCTATCAGAATACGTGGATGTACCTGAGTATTGGTTTGATATTTATTTTGAGCTCCACGCTACTTGTTCACATGGTGCTCTATGCCACTGAATACACATGGGTATCCAAGCACTCCAAGGACACGCTACTAGCCACTGGCGTGAGTTAACAAAATCTGCCTATTTAAAGCAAATTAAAATATTTTTATTTTAAATCAGATAATTGGCTATTTATGCGCCCTGGAGGCATTTCTTCTTTCGGGCATCGCATCCTGGCCATGGACTCAGTACCGTCAGGTGCCCGACGATGCCAGTGAATTGTTTATCGAGGATCGCGAGATGACGCCGATGAGTCCCATTAATTGTAGCACCGATCTGCAGGCGACGCCATATCATCACAATGGCAATGCAACATCATCGGATCTATATAACCAACAACAACAACAATCGTCCTATAATCAAAAGCCTTATATACCTGGTGAGCGAACATATTATTTAAGAGTTCTTTACGCAATAGATAATAATGGACCACTTGCAGCCAAACGACCCAATGAGCTCAACAATCAGCGTCCAGCATTGGGTCACACTCAAACCGCACGGTCGAAACCCAATCAGCGCTATAGAGAGGGCTACCACTATCACACATCCCGCCAGAGTCCCACTTTCGTGATGGGCGATGATCAGGGTGCCGGTCCATCCACGTCCCGTTCCAATGATAATTCTAGTGCGTGATAGTTTTTAATTCCTCTGCCAGAAGAACCGCGAAGAGAAAGGAATAATTACAGAGATCTCTGAACTATAAAATTGGAGAAAATAAATTGGAAGAATGTTGAAGCAAGTTGGTCAATGTAAGAAGTGAACAAAGAAAAAAAAAAAAATTGTTAATTAGTTTAAAAACCACAAGCAAAACTCGTCGGGTTTAGAAGTTGATACACCAACAGAGAAAATATTTAAGCAGCCGAGCAAAGCAAACAATAATAAATTTAATATATTGTGTGTGTATATGTACTACAAGCCGAGAGAGAAATTTAAAGAATTTAAACCAAAAGAAATTTGAAACGAAGATCAACCAGATCAACGCCCATTTGATTAGTTGTACGAACACCAAACATTTGAAATTGGTCATTTGTTGAGCTATAACTACAAAAAGAAGTGAAAGTTTAATTGGTAATAATACGGTATCAAGGTAACGCGAAAATTGCAAGCAAAATTGAAGATTAGAAATGAGCATGGAAATGGAAATCAACTTGTTATAAACGTAGTTTTGCTTATTTTTTAATAAAAACAAATAATTCAAGAAAAACCAAGATTAAATGAATTTTTAAATTTAATTAACAGTTTGGAGTAATTATGGTATTTTTTTGCTGATGAAATATAAGAACCGAAATCGCAACAATATTTTATTACCTAATTTAGAGAACCAAATTTGTTTTACGGATCGTTCTGCTCAATTAATGTAATGAAATCAATTAATTTTTATTAATGCAACAATTTTATTGTTCAGTTTAAAATGCAGGAATCAGACTTAAATTTACTTCAGTCCCAGATCCTTTTCAATTGTGTGTGAACACACGGCCATCATCTGATCCTTGACACTGACAAAGTTACGAATAGCGGCGGGCTTAGCTTCGGTCCACTCTGCCAGATCGCGATAGATGGGTCGGCAGAACTTCATGCGGAAATTGGAGTTGGCGAATTCGAGAATCTCATCTAGGCGCTTAATCAAACGGGCACGAATAATCAAACGATTGAGACGGAAGCGAATTTCGGCGTTTTTGGAATTCTTCAAGTTGTAAGTAGATTCCAGGAGCTCAATTTTTCGCTCGGTCAGGTCAACAATGTCCTTGCTCTCGATCAATTTCCCCAGGAAATCAATGAGTTGGTGGATGGAAATGTTCTTCTTGATCTCCGCACTGCCGTTCAATTCGGCGACACTTTTGGTGCTCCAGAGACTGGCCAATTCCTTGGTCACGTTGGCCAGGGACTCGTCGAACCTAAAATAGTTTTCAAAGTAATATAATAAATCATAAAATATTAAATATCTTTGACAGTAAAATTTACTTGGGAATAATTGGCGGCATTCCCTCGGTGCTAAGCCACAAATCCCAGTCAACCGCGCTTAGTTGATCCTTCTTGTCGGTATTGATGAAATAATCATATAAAGCACTCTTGAAATCATTCGTCTCAATCGATTTGTAGGCGTATTTCTTCAGGTAATCCCTCAGGAAAGGCTCAAAAACAGTCGGGCCGCCAAACAAATCCTCCAAATAACGCAGGAATGTGGAACCCTTAATGTAAGGCACTGAAGAAAAAGCGTCATCGGGTCCACAATTCGACAAATCTACCACCAGTTTGGTCAGCTCGGGTGTTTTATTGAGTTGAGTGCGGATACACTCTTGCAGATCAGTGAGATTGCTAAGCATCTTAAAGTCCAGCTCCTTTGCGCCTTGCATTCTTCCCACGATCTTTGACTCCACAAACACAGTGAAGCCCTCGTTCAACCAGAAATGCTCGAAGTTCTTGTTCGTCACCAGGTTACCCGTCCAACTGTGGGCAATCTCATGAGCCACCACGTCGGCCAACGATTTATCACCGGCCAAAAGAGTTGGGGTTACGAACGTCAGGCAAGGATTTTCCATGCCACCGTAGGGAAACGAAGGAGGCATCACCAGCAGATCGTACTGCTTCCAGACATAGGGACCGCACAATTCGGAGGCAGTTTTCAGCATAGTGGCTGTTTCGGAAAACTCCTCGGCACAGGCATCCACAATTGCTTCCTCTGCCCAGACATTGGAGTTTTCTCCGAGCGGACGGGAGACTAATTTTCCAATTGCAATGGCAACGAGATAGGCGGGAATGGGCACCTCCTGCTTGAATTGCGTTTTTCCAGCTTCCTTCTTATCGATAAGGGCGCTCATCAAAGCCGTCAGCTCATTGGGATGCTCCACTGTGGCATCATAGGTGAACTTAACAGCTGGGGTATCCTGGCAGGGAATAACCGAACGAGCATGAATCGCCTGGCACTGTGAGAACATATAGGGATGTTCCTTGCCCAAAGTCTGGGTAGGATTCAGCCACTGCAATCCGCTGGCGCTGCTCGACGTCTCGTAATCGATGCGAACATTTAGGCTACAAGGGGAGTGAAGTGTTTCAGATTATTTATGAGTTCCATATAGATTAGATTATCTTTCGTTGTGGTTTTACCTGCCCTTAGCCGTTCCAGATGGCAACTCCAGCGTTAGCTTCTGACCGATATCATCGACCGCATCGCTGATGAAGTAGTTGATCGGTAGCTCACTGCCTCCGGCCAGCAACGTGGCATTGGTTACATTTATGTCACGCACATCCAGGAGCTAAATATATATTATGTTAATATATGTTAATTTAGATACCGTGAGTTATCTTTCCCACTGTTCCTGTTGTTATCCACATGGGACTTTATAGGAAATCAAGGGAATCCTTTATACTCACAATCTTATCGAGATTAGCAGTCAGCACTTTGAAGCGATGGAGCACACTTCCTTGGAGTTTGGTGGCCCCAAAGTCGACTTTCCAGTTTAGAACACTGTGCTCCGTGGTTATCAAATCCGGCTGCGAATAAGAACTAGGATCTACGGTTCCCAAGCGACCCATATTGCGTTTCTGTATCTGGTAAATCGGGAGTAGTTTGTGGAAAGTGCACAAGCCGCGAGTGGAGACTGAAAAAGAATGGAATGAATAAGTTTATATAGTTTACCTTTCTTCGATAATGCTTATCGTTAAAAACAACCACAAATGGGCCGCAGATAAGCCAAAACCTCAGTTTAAATTGTACCTGCTGATTGTGGTTTTAGATAATTGCGTATAGTGATGACCGCACTTTCTATATAGTATATATTGGAATCGTAGGCGTCGTCGCCAGAGATGGATACAAAACAAATCAAAAATACAAATGAGATGAACAAAATGCAACTCACTGCCACACAGCCGGTAAATAAAGGGGTTGTCAAAAGTCACAAAATTTAAAAAAATAAAAACATTTTCGATATTATAAAAAAACCAAACACCTTAGTAATAAACCCTTAAATTTTTGTACTTCCCTGTTAAGTTTTCATTTGTCTATCTTTAAATTTTGTTTAAATAATAAAGCTTTTCAAATTTAACTTGACATTTAACAACCTGACATCCCTTTTTGCAAAGCATTGCCAACCCAAAAATATAAGCTTTTTTAGTAGGTTAAGTCGCCGTGTTGATACCGTATAAAAAACAATTAAAAAACTTTTTTAAAACGAGAACGGAAGCTAGCTTCGGCAAACCGAAGTTTTAATACCCTTACTGTCACACCAAAACTATAGGTTATAGTCTACTAATGAGAAGGATCTGAAATAATATAAAACCATCATATTGGGTAAAGAAAAGCTAATAAAAAAACCATTGTGAAAGTTGTAAGTTTATAGCTTATTTGGTCGGAAATGTATCCATTACGGCGTTAAAAAATTCTGACAGAATCATCCGTGTCTCTTATTTTTTTTATCAAAACCGGGGGAAAAGATACTGAAAAGTTGGAATGTTATACATCGTCATACCTCGTTGAATTTGTTATAAAAATTCCAATCTATTGGCATTCACAGCTAAAAAATTCAATTTTAGTCGATTTTTCGCAAAAAATAATGATCTTTTGAAAAATGTCAAAATACGGAAGATCCGAAAAATCAACTTTTACTTTGGTTTTTTGTTCAAAACATCCCATATAATAGTGGTCACATGTTGGAATGTGTCGTTAAATTCGTTATAAAAATTCCTATCTATTGGCATTCACAGCTAAAATCCCCTTTTAAAAAATGCGAAAATCGGTAAGAAAATATTTTTTTCCACATCAACCTGATATTGGTAGTTTAGGTTCTTAGCTGCACAAAACATTCATTTTTTGTTTTCATATTTTGTATTTATCTTAATTACAAGGATGTTCGAACAACAAATCAACGCAAAATGTAATCCTTGGGATAATCCATAATGTTGGGAAAGTTTTCCAGCGTTTCCTTGTCGATATGATCCAATCGCTGGGGAATTGTGCGAGGTGTGCGAATCTGATTCGTGACATTCTGCAGGATTTCCTCGGGAACTTGATCATCGGCGAATAAATGCAATCTCTGCATAGTGTGTCTGCGCTGCAGATTTCCGTGCATAGAGTTGTAAACGGCTTTCTTCATGACCATTGTGGGATCCTTCTCGTGCAGTTGCCATGCCAGGGTCCACGAAGCTCCTCCAGGATATCCTGTGTGGTGGAAATAAACCCTTTTAACCCACTCGTCTCCGGGCAAAGCGATTTCCCGCGTGTTGATCAGGACCACATGGTCACCGCAGTCATCTGGAAAATTACATTTACTGATTTTAATTGGATGGCCATTGAGGATAACTTGCTTAACCTAAAAGTACAATTATTGCCGGTCAGTGATGGTTCAAAATCTAAATGGTAATTCAGTTGCGGTCTAAATAATTAGTAATTAATGCAGTTCATAAGAGTTCATTATTGTAAGATTATCACTGTTATCTACTATTATTTAAATCGCAACTGAATGGTCAAATAATTACCATTTTCAAATATTCATTTATTTGTTTTCATTTTTAACTCGCAGCAACAACAACTACGAAAACACGCCGGTGATGTAATGACATCCGAAAAGCCTCCAAAAACCAATGAATTTCACACACTTTTCACTTATAATATAAACAAGAAACTAGAGCGTTGGATGATACTTACTCATGGGATGATATATAGGCTTTTGTAGGCCCATTAAATGATTTTTAACCAATTTAGCAGACTCAAACGGATTCTGCCAAGTGCAGTCATAAATGTGCCAGGTCCGCGCAAACGTTGCCCATTGCTAAAGTAGGGGAAAAACTTAATAAATAACCGCTGTAGGTTGAAGTTATCACACTCACGCACCTGTACACGTTTGGCAATCGACATTGTAAACTATTTTTAATAGACAAATTTACTTAAAAGAAAATAAATAATTTCTCAGCTGTCGACTAAAGAGACCGTTTGAATTTTCAAAAATACATTTTTAAAATACCACTAAAACGTACTAAAAATACCAGCAAACAAACCATTTGAAAGCAAATATCCCCACCATACATTGGTTGTTGTCTTTGCTAATAGTATATAGTCGTGATTCGACCCACTTTTGCAAGCAGTTTAAATTCATTGTGGAGCAAGCAGTTTGACCAATGACGCCAAGTTCAAATTCAATAAACTAATATATAAATTAAACACATCATTATTTATGTTATTTTGCGTGTTGTTTTTTTGCTGTTTTATTTTCGTTTGTAATTTCATTTAAACATTTTCTATAGTTACTAAAATTACTTATGCACTGTTTATTATTAATATTAGTTAAATATTATTGAAAATACATTAGTTGTTTTACGAAACAGTTTATAAACATCCTTGGTACATTTCGGTTTCTCTCTCTTTCCTTCCCGCTGCCGGATTTGTTGTCTTCCTCATCTTATAATGCATTTCGGAAATGTTTAAAAACTAACAAATAAGTCTAGATTTAGTTACAGTTTTTCTTTCTCACTTACATTTCTTGCATTTATTTATTTATAATAATTTTGTGTTTCTTTTGCCATACAATTTACGAACTTAGACGTAGATGCTTTTGTTGTTGTTAATTCGATTTACAAGTTTGCCAAGTGCGCCTTTATAGTTTATCGCTACCCCTCGGATTCTGCATCCCATATAATACACACGAGTCAGTTTCTCTTTTTGTTTTTGAATGCTTACGATCGCTTCTTCTTTTTTTTGCATTTTGAATGAAAATATATTTTTTTTATTATTCATATATAAAAGTTATTTACAAATTTATGTTTAATGAAATTCCCTACTTGATGCGAAGTAACTGTTTTCCTTTTGTTATCATAATTTTTGTTTTTCGAGTCAAAAATTATTCGTAAAACTTTTCAAGTGTGTGAGCATTTTCGTTTAGCTTATTTTAATTTAATTTTTTCATGTTTTCATTTTGCAACTCAACAACAAAAGTGTATGTTACATAACGAAATGTGCAACTGAGCCAGAGCCAGAGCCAGATTATCCCCAAAAATGCCAACGGCCTACAGACTATTTTTTGGCACCGAATCAAACAGAATAAAATTAAATTTACAGAATACAAATGAGTAGAATAAAAAAACAGGGGCAAAAACCATTGCACTTCCCCAAATACGGTCGAACTTTCCTAACAGGATTAAATGATTGGGAAAATAAATGTTTAAAATACAATTTAAACTATTCGTAATCTTAATATGACTTTTAAACGAGAACAATTTTACAAATCAAATAAAACACCAAAATTATTGTTTTTAAATGCTTGACAAGATTTAAACCATTTTTCCCTAAAACAAAGTTGTAAAGTTTTGCAAAATCATAATTTTTATGGAGATAACGTTTGAATGATTTGAATTTTCCGTATGACATAGATTCAAGTTAGTGAGGTTCGACTGTAGCTCCTACCGCGCCGACTTCCTGCCACGCCCCCGCACGCCCCCTTTTTTTAGAGCACCGCATGCGAGGCCGGAGAAGCGGAGCCGGTTACCTTTTGGAGCATTTGCATGAGCTGCTCGGTGGCCGACTGATTGGCCACCACTCCCACGCCCAGGCCCAGAACACCTGCACCACCACCACATCCCCCACCACCCCCTGCTCCAACACCCGATGGCGGCGAGGAGATCGATGTGCCCGCCGAGGCCGAGGAAGAGGACGACGGGGTCAGCGCCAGCTTGGATTCTGGGAGCAACAAAAGAAGCTGGATTAGATTCGGTTCGATTGTCTACGGACTGCCCTGCATACTGTCATCGCTCTCCAGGTAGGTGACGTAGGAGTCGGTGCTGTCCGGATGGTGGTGAGAGGTGATCCCGGAGTCCAGGCTGCTGCCTCCGGGCTGTTGGTTCGGCTGCTGGTTCTGGTGGTTGTGCGGTCCGCCAGGAGGCGGTGGGTGCTGGTGGGGAGGTCCTTGTCCCGGATGCGAGTGCGGATGCGGCGGCAGGATGGGCATCCCGTTCAGGTCGTAGCCATGCATCTGCGGGAGAAAGAGGAGAAAAGGGGTAAATATAAGTGGGTGTCTTTTGGTTACCATTAAACAATTACCTCAAACTTATTTAAATTTAATTTCAATGATTTATATTGAGCCTTTTTCGCAAAAACAATTTCCTTTTTGCCATATTCATTTTAAAAAGTCGAGTCTTTTGTTGTAAAATTGGTTTACCTTTTGCCATTAATCAAAACTTGATTTCGTAGCTTTTAATTTTAATAACCAAATTTCAAAGATGTTTTGTTAGAAACAACTCAACAACTCATTCATACCCATTCATCATCGTCACAAAAAGTTCATTGATACATATTTCTAAGCATATTTCTAATAATTTTATTCCTCACGTATATATAATGAACCTTAACCAGTTTTCAATTGTGTAAAGTATTAATATACAAGACGTAGTCGAAATCTAGTTTGTATTTCTGATTCGCTTTAAAAGCAAAATAAACCAGTTGCTGATTAAGATAAAAAAATGTTTATTTAGTTAGCAATGCCACTATTCTATTGTAAAACTAGGGGTTTATAAGGTAATCCACTTATTCCCTTAATCCTTATTATACCTTTAAAAAGAGGCTATTTATCCTTACCTGATTGACCAGCTGCTGAAATGCGGGCGTGTGTGTATTGATCGCTCCATTGCTGTCGAGATCGGCGTGCAGGGCGAAGTCGCTTAAGGCTTTCCACGGCGGTTGATATGTCTGCACATCCAGACCCTGGAGATTCAGAGGGGAGTCGTGTCTGACTGGGGAACTGGCGATCATGGGGATGCCCTGCATGGCGCCATAGCCCAACTTGCGACCCTCCTGCGAAGGCGGGATCAAATTAGATTTGCAAAGCCATATGTAGAGGGGCTATTGTTTACCTTCTCCTGTTGCATTTGCAGCTTCATCTGAATGGTCTTCTTTTTGTCCTTGCAGCGCTTGTTTTGGAACCATACGCGGATGACTCGCGGGGACAGGCTCGTCATCTCCACCAGCTGCTCCTTCATGAGCGCATCAGGTCGCGGATTAGCATTGTAGCAGGTTCTGAAATAAATGAACGTTTAGTTTACTATTAAAAAACCTTCATTTAGTTAACTATTTCCGAAATAGGTAATCTTTTTTCCCTGGTGTATATAAGTTACTAATTACTTTTCTTCGGAAACATTACTTTTTATTGTTACTTTCTTTAAATTTTGCCTTAATTGTTTTTTTTAAATCTGTTTTTACATAAGCAATATTAAGTGGTAGCTCTATGTATATTGAGAAAACATTGAATATTACTACATTGTTTATTATGGTTTAGTTAGCTAACTTTAGTAAAAGGTTTTAAAAAAGGTTTTTTATACATTATAATTTTAAAAACATGTTTTCTTTACAGTAGCGCCTAACCACCTTTAATAGTATTCCCATTTCTTGGGCAGAGATTACTCACCTGAGCGTATGCAGCTGTTTCTCATTAAGCACGGTCCGAACTCGCGTTGGCTTGCCATCCGAAGGCCCCGAGGGTCGCTTTTCCCTAATACTTTTGTGTGAGCCCGATTCGCTGCCAGAATCTGCATGGAAATGGTAAATGGTAAATGGTAAATAGAAAGGTACAGAGATATTCCATCAATTCGTTTGCTATTTTTGGCAGAAAATAAACCCTTTGAAGTGCCGTTGGGTAGATTGCTCGCATGCTCTCGACTTTCCTGCTTCTATTTTATTCTATTTCTGGGCGACGAGTACAATTGCACCCAAAAATATCGCCAAATGCGGAGAATTCGGTATTGGTAGATCAAAGGCGCACGTGTTTCCCTATTGCCATCGATCTCTGGTAATTAAGTCGTGTCTCACAACCCCCGAAACAAGGCGTTATCTAGATGTTGATCGTACAGATCGATCGGTGATTTCTATCGGGGCGGTGTGGTTCAATTGAAGGAGTTTTCTCACTCATTCATTTCCTATCGAGAGTTGCAAGTTGGCAAAAACTCTTAACAATATTGGCCTTATTTTTCCCAGTGTTTTGTTTCAGGTATACAAAAATATTAATTTGCTTACGGTTGAAATGCAAGTGATAAACAAATCAGAGAATTGTGTTTTTCGAAGGTATTTCGCTCATAATGAGGCAGTCAATTTTTGCCAAATCTCCCACAGAAATTAACATATTTTTCCCAGTGCCGAACTTCAAAGAGTCGCGACCGCTGCGGTTTGGCAAACACTCGATCAGACTGCATGCCGTTTTCGAGTTGAACACAAACAAACAATCCGGCAAGTGGAACTATGAATGGTGCGCTATGCGACTGCCTGATTGATCATACGACCCGTCGATCCGTCGATCGAAGTCAGTCAAACAAAAGTCCAATTCCCAAGAAGTTGCTTGTCAATGTTTGCCCGCTTGAACGCATCGATGCAATGTGGAGTTTTTGTTTGCCCTGGCAGCTAGTTTTTTTTTTTTTTGTATTTTTTATTTCGAACCCTTTGCAAAATGAGTGTGGAGGGAGGAGGGAGGAGGGGGGGGGGAGGACCGCCACACACGTTTGGCATCCATCGTTTGACATCGCCGCCACATGTTGATAAGGTGACTCCAACTCCAACTCCATTCCCTCGCTTTTCTCCGTTCTGGTTAAACAATGAGATTATGTTGACGATATGGTTTGACAATTGTCGTACATTGTTTGACGTTTGCCGATTTCTATTGACTCTACTATCACTTACAAGGATGTAACGCTGTTTTTCTAAGAACAAAACACGAGCACAGCGCTTTTGTGCCATGCCGAACTGTGTGCTTATTTGTAGCCCATAGTCGCAGCTCCATTCCCGTTTCCATTCACAGAACCAGACCAATTTGGGCTAATTAGGATTGGCAATCTTTTCGGTGGAAGGCGAGTGGAAAAGGCGGAGGAAATGGGGGACCGAATGGGTTGACTTTTCGCCTGGGGAATTCAAATGGTCGATAGTGGAAATGGCTGGCGACTTTGTAGCTCCATAAAATATGGGACACAGTTGCAAATGTTGCAAGTAAGAACCCGTAAAGCTAAACTCGGCAAACAAGTTCCAAGTCACTAACTATGTCTTTATTTATGGCTGGAATTTATTTTTTCTTAAACCGTTTACGAATTTATAACATTATTTTCATTATCAAGATATTAAATAAATTATTTTTCTTTAAGCCAGATTTAATTCTGCTTTCTACCGCAAAGAATATATGGTGTAAATTATATCAGCTTCAGAATATTTAAAGAGTAGAATTTCCATGAAAACTAAACTTGTAAATTTAGGTTTTAAAGTAATATGAAATATTTTATGAATATCTTTAATTAAGTAAGTAGTAAGATAATGATTGGAAGACTTTTGGACTTTAATCTCATCCAAGAACAAAATATATCAAGTTACTTTCTGCTGATGAATCATATACTTGGCAACAAAGATAGCTAACTATATAGAAGAACCCAGGCAAACTAACCATAAACTATTTAGTTACACTGTCAACTCAAAGGGCAAACAAAAGTAGTACTTTGGGGCACGAGGAACATCCCCAACTTGAAGAGCCCTCGATGAATGGTTGTTATAGTGAATAAACAAATGCGAAACCCTCCGAGAGCAAGTCCCAAATAATATACCCCACTCGAGGCACCTCTCAATGGGTTAAATCAAGGGCCAAAAGCGACACTCACCTGACATTGAACCCAATTCGCTGGAATGGTTGTTATTGCTAAGGTTGGTGTTGTTGTTGTTACTACTGCTAATATTGTTGTTGCTCTCCACCGACGAAGAAGTGAGGCTGCTCTGCGACGATTTCTCCAGCACATCGTGATCCTCCTTGCAATATAAAGCTCCGGCATCGCGTAACGCGAATTCATCACCTAAAATTCCAGGTAAACATTCAGTTATTTGATGGGTAAATAAGGCATATGGGGGTGGGGGGAACGTAAGGGGGAACGGGGGTGGTGTTATGATATTAAATAAATAATAAACTCACCTGGCAGCAATTGTCGCGCACACGCGGAGCATCGAAAACACTCGATGTGAAAGATTTTCGTTTTGGCCCGCATTACAAAATCATTTTTGCTGAAGGAGTTGCCGCATTTATCACATTTTGTACCAAATAACCTGGAAATATTTTAAATGAAATAACATTGTAGAGTATGGTAAAATAAAAATAATTATTCAAATTAAAAAGTGAATCATGCTTTTTCTTATACATTGCTTGCTATTTAAACTTAAACGCTTAATCGCAATTATAATAAAAATAATTGTATTTTTATCTGAAACTAAACTATCCAAATATCGAAATAAATTTCATAATAGGTATTGCTACTGATTATATTTAAATCTATCCAAGTATAAATATAATCCAATACGTTTTCGTTAAATGTAAACCACAACAGCCCCTCCAAATGATTCTTTTTTTGAATTTAACAAAAAGAGATGCCAAAAATTGAATGAAGATCCCATGATTAGTGCGTGTAAACAGCCTTGAATGAGTTCACCAGCGGGAGATTTTCAGAAGGGGGTGTTCGCCGAGCTCGTTTATGGCTATAAAATAAAATTCTTTTGTCAGCGCCGACATCGATGACTGAGGCGAGTGTTCATCAATCATCTGAGCGTGCATTGTGTGTGTGCTTGTGGAAAAGTGTTAATTTATAGCTTTGCACGTGTTAATCAATTATTCAAAGATTTGCATGGCAAATAGTTGCGACTTTGGTCGCCGGTCGCCGGCTTTACGATGGCAAAACAAAAAAGACCCAAACACGGTTTTTATTGCACGTCATACATTTAGCGATGATGAAACCCAAAGTCTCCGGCTACTGGACCAGCTGTTGATTAGAACATGGTATTTGCCTTTTTGTGTTGGCATCAGCGGGCTAATTGGCTGGGCTAACAAGCCTGGTCTAAACGTTTGCCGGACGCTACAATTGGAAATGAAAAGGCCAAGCGCATGACATGGAGTGTGTGCCTAGGGTTGAGCAAATAGCTTTCAAATCGCTTTGGTTGAGTGGAAATTAGATAATGTCTCTTCCGAAATTCCAGGGGTTTCCTCGAATCTAATTTTTATATTCTAGTTGCAATGGCTACGATTGAGGCGTGGAGCGAGAGCAAATAATATTGTATTTGGCTCAAATACTTCTGGTTCTCAATAACGTTTTAAATATATTATTTTTTTGAATGATCCTTTAAACTCACCTAACATAATCACGCTTGCAGTAGGTTTTGCCATCGCGCACAAAACACGTACAGCTTTCGTCCAGAAATTGCCTGCACTCCTGGCATTTCAGACACGCCGCATGCCACTCGAGATCGGGGGCAACGCGCAAGATATACTGATCGTGGATCTGGCCGCCACAGCCAACGCAGTGAGATAGGCGTTGTTTTTCTGCAAGAATAAATAAAGAAAATTAGTACCAACATTTCAAGAATATTATAATAATTTTAATATGACAATACAACAATATGTAAAATTGGCCAGAAAAAAAGTTACATGTTCTCAAGCTTTCAAAAATGTTTATACATGTGTTTTTAAAACCCAATTTCACAAATATCAATTCATTAGAAGTAAGTAGGAAAAAGTTATTATTTTTTAAGATATACAAAATCATATATTTTTCCCAATTCAACTTAGAAGTGCTTATTTTGTAACGTTTTGTTTTTTTTACTCTACCTCAGAAATAAAAGCTTGATATCAATATAAAATAAATCTGTATTTGCCGACGGCAATAGTAAACAAAAGTTACAACGACTAACTAACTTGTTTCTCTAAAAACTTTTCCACCTTATTTTAATTTGCTTGGCTCTGCAGTTTTTTTATTTTTTGGCACAAACTTAAATTCATTTTGCCAATTATGCCTTTGGAAACGTAAACAAATAGCAAGTGAGACAGCAAAGACGGCGCTAATTAACAAACTGTTATCAAATAATCCGAGTTTTCCCTGCTTTCCCTGTTTACCCAAGTGCCGCACTCTCCAAAGTCCGGACTCCAATGGCAAAACTTTTACTGCCAAAAAGTTTCTCCCTTTTGCGGATGGGTCTTCGGCGTTTTTCTGGGGGAAAACATTTGAAAAATTCATAAATCCTGGCCAAGCCAAGTGAAACGCAGCAACCATTTTCAAGTATTTAAGTTGAACATTTTCCCTCCACTTGGTCTCGTGCTTTATTTCTTTTTATTCGGCAAAACTTTGGCTGGCAAAGGAATGAGGAAAAAATCAATGCAATCATTGCCACATTATGTACAGGCCACACCCACCCCGCCCCCCATTTTCCGACTATGTGCTGCTGTAATCCTTGGCAGGGAGGCAACAAAAAAATAGGAAAACTTTTTCCCGGCTGCTGTTGAAAAATTAAGAAAAACTTTGACGCGCGTTTAGCACGTTTTAAATGTTTCGTTGCCCCACACACACACACACACATATATATTCGGAAAACAGAAAAAAATCGCAAACACACACATTTGTGCTCAGATAAAATCTGTATCTGTTGCCTTGCTTGTATCTTTGTATCTTTAAACGTGGCCGCGTATCTGTGTGTTTCTTTTTTTTTTTGGGGAGTGGTTAGGGGCGGTGAGGGGCGTTGAGGGGCGCTGAGGGGGCGGGGCTGGGGGCCCAGGGTGTGTGTATGTATCTTGCGTATCTTTCGCACTCGCTGTAGCTACACATGAATTATTTATAAAGGCGGAGCAGACAAGTTGCTGCTGCCGTTGTTGTTCTTATTGTTGCCGTATATTCTTTTCCTTACTTTTTCGCCAATTTTTGTAGGTTTATATTTTTTCCCATACTCTTTAACTGGGCAATGAGAAGTTGGCAAGCTGGGAACCATTTAAATCAGTGATAATTGTTAGTTCATTTATATGCTTCTTTAACAATTCAATTAAAAATTATATTTGCATTACTCTGCATTTTTGACTTTTCAGCTAATGTACCCCAATTATTATCAATACCTTTGTATTCATAATTTTGTATACATTTACGATTTATTGATTTAATAGGGACTTTAGTACGATTAAAAAATTTAAAATGTTGAAAAATGTAAATACTAAATAAATTATATTTTGAAAATAAATTATTTTTGACTTAAAGAAATCTTTTTTACTCATTAATATGTGTATTAAAGCTTCTTGTAAACTATAAAATCTTCAACAAATCTAAGTAACTTCTATAGACCAAAAATTATATTTAATTGTGGCTTGAGGATTTATTGGAAGAGTATTTTTAAGCTGCTTTCAATATCTTTGGAAGAAAAGCCATCGTACTTGGCTTGTATTTGTTGCTTTTCAAGCTCCAAGTACTTGGGACTCGGATTCGGATTCAGACAGGCGAACAAACTGACAGCTGGACGGAATGAGAGACTGACAAAGGGACGGACGGACAGCCGGCATTTACTTCCATGTTTCAGCCTCCAATTGCTACGAGTCTTTTTCTTTTTTTTTCTCAACTTGGGGGCATGTGCGCCTCGTTCTTGTTTTTCTTTGTAAGTTTTCGCCTTCAAAATACTGCTATATAATGCTACCCTACATGGACATGTGTGTGCGCGTGTTTTTGGGGAGCCACCATTTTTGCCATTATTTTTTTTTTTTGGCAGTTTCTTTTGTTGTGCGTTCCTTCGACCGAGTATTTTTTTTTTCCTTTTTTGGTTTTTGTGTGAATTTCTGACATTTCGCATTTATTTGTATGTGTGTGTGAGATTTTGGGATCTATGTGTGCGGAGAGACAGGGATTGGAGCTTCTGTTGCCTTAATGATCCTGCGCAGTTCGTTTTCATTTTTCTTTTGGCACCCACACAGACACACGCACTCACACAGCCGCAGCCATTATGGCTGTAATGGGAATTTAAGCGCAACTCCTGCGCCTGTGTGTTGCTTTTCCGTTTGGGGGGGTTTTTCCGCTTTTGTGGCGTATCTTTTGCATGTTATGTTGCCATTTTGTTGGCTCCCCAACACCCACTACCCACCACCACCCATACACCCACTCAATGCCTTCCCCTTTTTTCCTCAGGGTTGACGCGTCGCGGTTGTTTTTTTTTAATGTTTTTTTTTTTGGGACTTTTCGGTGCGGCACACATTGGACCAAAATGCAATTTTGTCTCGTGTTGTCGTCTATGAATTTTTCGACTGTGTCGGCGGTTTCTCTTGGTGAGTGAAATGGGGGGGGTTAAGGTGGGGCACAGGGGTGTTAATGCGTGGTAAAGGGGCTGCGGCACATGCGGCAATTGCGGCTTTTTCACTTTTAACGAGGAAAACGCTTCGCAAGCTGCGTGTTTCCCATTTTTGCCTGTCACTTCGCTTCTGTTTCTTCCTCATTCATTCAGTTTTTAGCTCATTTTTTTCGCACTCTATATCTTTTCCATTTAAATAACGAAACATTTTCCATGACTCTATGCCAGCACTTGATCTTGGTGGGCATGTTCACGTTTTTATGCTGAAAGGTGTTCGAGTTTCTAATGGCCGCACCTTTTTGGCCATTGCTCTTGACCTCCGGCACCTTTATGTGAGTTGCACATGATGTAATTGTTTGGCGATCGAAAAAACCATGTTCGGCATTGTCGTGGAGGTTCTGTGGGAATCCAAGCAGCTGGTTTCTAACTGGGTTTCTTGGGTTTGGCCCGACTTTTCTTAAATAAAAAGGGATTTTTAAATGGGGTGCAACGATTCCCTTAAAGGTGAGGAGAATTTAAAAAAATGGAATGTTTTAAAGACATCCCATATGCCTTTTTGTTACATCTGCAGTAATACATTAAATGTAGATACATATATTTTTAAGACAGGCATTTTATTTACGGTCATTTCTGTGTATTAACTTTATATACATTTTTTCCCAAAAGTTTGGTTAAAAAAATCTTTAAAGTTTTCAACTTCTTAATGCCAAAAATGTAAGAAGTGGTAATTTTTATTACCTTTTAGTTTAATTTCCAACCCAGAGTCTTGACTTTTGTTTAAAGTCAAGCTAAAGGCATCGTGAGCAATTAAAAGTATCTTTAAGGTACTTTTATCTAAATTACACGAGTAACGTTTCGTGTCTGTGATGGATTGATAGAAGTGGCTGGGCTTTGATTTGAACTTGATCTATTGATCTCCGGGAAATTGATGGCTGAGCAATAAACATATCAAGGAATTCGTGCCAAGAAACGCCCACCGAGAAGTGAGTTGAAGATAGTAAGTGGATGTATCTCAGTCCTCCGCTCGTTCTCTATCTCTCTCTCTCGCTCCCTCCCAGCTACCCATCTCTTTCGCTGGCCCTTATCAATGTCGGCAATCTTTCAAAGGCCACAAAAAAGGGGGGCTGAAAATGAGGGAACAAGTAAAATTGCAGTCAAATCAACTCGGGCTACTTCACAGATACAGATACAACCGCACGCACGCTCACAGATACAGATACATTGCAATGGCTGCCCAGCATCTTCGCTTTACTTTTTTTTTTTAGTTTTTTTTCCTTACTGCTGTTGCTGTTGCTCGACAAGGGGCAACATGCAAAATGCAAAGCATCGATAAGATACGTTTTGGCCAAGCTCTCCACTCTCGGCCACAAACGCAAATGAGGGGCGAAAAATTATGGAAGCTCCGCCGGATATGGGCGCGATTTCAAAAGCCACTACTGTTTGCGTCTTTGCGAGGGGGAAGGGGCGGGGCAGTGGGGCAGTCGGGGCAGCGGAGGGTTAAGGGCACCCTTTGATTTATGGCATATTTGTTATAAGGTAAATACAAAGCGCAGTCACACAGCGAGTATCGCTTTTTAGTGGGATAGCAAGTGCCGCTTCTTTTTTCGGATTTAACTAGGAATTTCACATGATCATAAACGTTGTGCGGACTACACAGAAAAAAAGTACGTCTCGATTTGATATCTAGACAGATCTATATCTTTTTGTTATTTATATATGCAAGATTTAGAAACATTTTTGATGATGATTAATTTTAATTAATTACAGTTTTCAAATATATATATATATATATATACAATCGTAATTGCATAAGAAATTAACATGAAAAAACTATGTTAAAAGGCAATATTTAACTTAAACTTTTTTTAAAATTAAAAACACATTTGAAAAATATCTATCCATAATATATATTTCAAAATCAGTAACTTGTTTTCTGTTTAAAGGACTTAAAGAGGGGTTAACAAGAGGGGAGCAGACAGAGCGTGATTTCTTGGAAAATTTGTCATTTTTCCGGGAAGCCGTTGCGGGATTTTTTTACGAGTTGAAGTTGAGGTTCATTCATTTCTCGCTTGTTTTCTTTTTTGGTTACCTGTGAAACGATTTAAAAAATTAATGATGACAGGCAACGAGGACGAAACTTCGGAACACGTGCCCCTCTGGATGTTCACTTATTTTTTCCTTTTTTTTTCTCCTCTGGCTGGACAATTCGAATTCACATTTTGACAGACT